TAGTTCAATGAACTGGTTTCGACATTAAAGTATATAGCCGGGGTCTTACATTAAAATTTATTCTCTAAAGTAAACTACTGCTGGATAAATCTATAAATGAATCAGAAGTCAATTTCATAATCTCTACTTCCTTCCTCAGCATTCACAAATACTGCAACTATTTATAAAATGTTGTTTAATATTTTATCATAGGAGAAATTTTATAAGGACTTAATCAAGTTAGAATAAATAAATAAATAAATAAATAGAATAAATAAATATTACAGCTTTTTTATCCGATCTCTTATTTGTATCATTTGCTATAATGAAAAATAAACATTTTGGGCTCTTAACATATTTATATTTAAACATTTTTGATAAACAAAATTACAATAGTACTTTTAAAAATTTATTGACTATACGTTTCTCTTTCATAATGCCCAGAAGATCCATTTTAGTGTAACTGGTTCTTTATATTTTAGGAAGTACTTTTAAGCTGCTTGTTATTCCTAATATAAGCGGCATATGAAGAAATGAAAAATGCACTTAAATAAATTCTAGTTCATTATTTGGAACGCAATCGTACAGCACCATTATGTTAAAACCTATGGAACCCAATTTGCCACCCTTGGGAACATTCTCTTCATCTATGGCCTCCTGTCTGTTTAGCGAAAATTGTTAGCTACAAATGGAATTTATTATGCGCATTCGCTGGTTGATTTCTGTTATTGTTTGCCTTAGCTGTTTCGCGTCGATTCTACAGCTATTTATATCCAATAAACATTTATCTTAGCATTCAACTGTGTGTGCTGATGCTCCTATTAATAGCAAATACGGGACAAAAACAACCAAATAGTGTGTCTTCTTGCCAACTTTCCAAACATGCTGCCCATTTTTCCTTCATGGACATTAAAACAATAGATCACCTAATATTCATAAGAAATGCTAGCCTCACGCACAAACAACATTTCACATATGGCTGTGAATTATATGAGAGTGTGTTGCAGTTGAATGAACCGGATAACGGTTTTGCACAGGACATTTTACTTAACGGTAGATACAATCTGGCCAAGGGTTGAGATACACAGAGGCAACCCAAGCTTATGCGAATCTTATACCTTATACCATAGGCTATATATAAAAAATATACAGTAAAGACTACTACCCGTAGAGAAAAGAATACAGTCATAAATACCTATTAACATTTTAAAATCAGTTTGTGTAGACCGTTTTGTTTGAAAGTTCTTATTTTAAGAAATGTAAGCCTTTTTATATTATATGTTTAATTGACTTGAATTAAGGTCAAGAAACTTATTCTAAACTTTTAAGTGCAAAATCATATATATTCAAACTTCATTCCTATATAAGCTATAGTTTGAATTAAGGATCGTATTTTAAAAACATAAAATAAATTCGTCTGTTTTTAACTTAATCGTATACATATGTCAGGTTTTGTAATTGTATGCATATCTTTCGTTTATTACAGACACAGTTATTAATATTAATTCAGCCAAATACATATGAACTTAAATAAAAAATAACTCCAATCGCGCACAAGTCTGCCCTTTTCCACTACCCAAATGTAGCTCTCCCACATATTTTATTTTACAAGGCAAACTAACTTAAGTGAAATACTTAAAATATACATTCAAAATAATGCTTTTATTGCTCACATTTACAAAAATAGTTTCTAATGTATCCTTTCATTGAAAATATATTTCATACAACACAATAAGATAGCTCCTGTTTAATTTCCACAATGATAATTGCAGCCTTTGGAATTCTAAAAGAGGATTGCAACAAATTCAAATTTAACCTCCTTTAAAAGCTCAGAGTAACAAATAAACACAAATTTATCTGCAGTGGTATGAGAAGCGAAAATCCCATATAACCAACAATTGAGGCAGTCAACCGCTCTGTAGGTATGTGGTGTTTTAAATCTAATTTCGTATGCGGATGTTTTCTTTTTATGAAATTTAAATTTATTGCCCTCGCTAAGCTGCTTCTGCACTGCATTTTGTCGAGACATCCCAAGGATTTTGGATGACTACTGCCCTTTTCATATTGGGCTCACCGACACAACATTTTATTGTATTTTAAATGTGCCGCATTGGAAAGAGTCGCAAAAAACAACCTTATATACATATGAATACATACACGTACGCATTTGTATGTGCCACATAAAGTGGCAGAATTTCATGCGACATTCTGGCTCGTCTATAGTTGTTTTTCACTCCTTCATTTATTGGCATCAGCCATTAGAAAATTGTGAACGGTGGAGAAAGTCTGGCTGAATTCCAAATGATTTATGATTTCTCCTACTAGAATAGAATTTAATGTCTTACAAAGAAGGCCAATTGTAGGTAATTAACAATCAATTTGTTTATGATTATTTTCATTATTAAAAACAAGTAAAAAAGCTAAAGTCGGGTGTCCCGACTTTGAAATACTCTGTACATATGTTTACAATAATTATAGAAAATAAAAAAAAAATAAATAAAAAAAAAATTGGATCGATTTTACCTCTCTCGGTATTCGAACTCACGTAAAGGGTGTATAATTGCACATTTACATAGCAATTGCGTCTGTGTGAGTGTATGTATGCCTATGCGCATCAATTCGTGTCTGTGTAAGCATTTTCGCAGTCAACCAAACAGCAACATCAACAACAGCCGCGGGCAGCGCTTGAGCAGCGCTGCAGCAGCAAATATATTTATGGCTATAACTTCTTGGTAAATCGGTCTATCATAGTGAAACTTGGCATACGGACACATAATTACTAACTGGGGGTATTTGCAAAATTTGCGTTCGAAATTCCAAGAATTACGGGAGTTAGAGAAAATCGCATTTGCATTGGAGAGGGGGGAGGGAGGGAAATTCCAAAATATACATTTTCTGCGTATTCACACAAGACATCTTGGACTAAAATTTGGTGTTCCTAGGTCTTATAGTCTCCGAGATATAGGCGATTATACGAATGGAAAATCGGGAAAACCCCCATAGGGGGGAAGTGGGGGGAAAATCAAAAAAATAAAACAAACTCGTATAGAATACACACATAACGCATCTTCGTGCAAAATTTGGTGTCTCTATCTCTTATAGTCTCTGAGATCCAGGTGTTCATACGGACGAACAGACGGACAGACAGACAGACAGGGCTAGATCGACTCGTCTCGTCATGCTGATCAAGAATATATATACTTTGTGGGGTCTGCCACGCCTCCTTCTGCCTGTTACATTTTTCAGCTCCCGCAAACCTAATATACTCTTGTACATTTCATGTACAGAGTATAATAAAATTTAATTCTGGTATTGTAATGTTATTTTCTTAATGGTACCAAAACTGTTTTAATCATCCATTAATGATGTTAAAATACCTGTCTATTTATCCCAACATAATACAAATATTTTCATTTATTACATCCTAAAACACTGCTTCATTCTTCACTTAAAAAGACATATTTTGCTTTTGCTAGAATAGATTGATAAACTTATTAAGTAACATCTAAAAAATCTAACAAATTTTAGCAAAAAACTTTATATAATAGAAACTCTTTATCCAAAATTTGAAATATCTTTGTTTACATTATATTGTACGTAGGTATATCAGAAATCGAAGACTTCGTAGGTAACTATTCTTATAAGTTGCAGACAATAACGAAATTAGTCTCTACGCAAAAACACTGATCAATAAAGCAGAACAACCAAATATTTATGAATTGAATTGAATTCACATCAATCAATGATGATGATTGATGAAATCTTATAGCAGATTTTGGCCCTTCTACCAACTACTTGTTATCCAAAACTCTTCCAAATAATAGACTAACCCTATACCCTATTTAATCACTACAATCTGTTCCATTTGAGACAGTATCAATCCTAAAAATTATTTTAATTGGTAGCTGTTGTAAACTAAGGTTGTTTTCAGCTAAGCTGTTTTTTCTTTCAAAAACCTAAGGAAATACATCATTATCACATTCAACGGCACTCGCAGCTGTAAGCTGTATATTAAGGCCAGAGAGTGTACTTCACAGACGAACTAACCGACTATTCCTGTGGGATCGTATAAGCTTTGCCGACTGCCAAGGAACGCCAACGACTTGTGCGAGTCATCATAAGTTACGCTAATCAAGTTGAGCATACACATTAGCCGAGCAGAGCAGAGCAGAGCAAAGAAGGCAGCCGGATGGAGCAGAGACCGCCAGACCGGGAAACCGAACGGTGGAAAACCGGAGTCGCGTGGAGCGCCGAGTGTTCGAGACAGGAAATGACAATTCAAATTACAGACAGAAGGCCCAAAAGCGAATCAGTCGTGCGAGGGGCGGTAATGAAAGGCGTGGCTGGGATGGTCCGCAGCTCGCATTGCCAGTTAACATGAAATTAATTATGAAACTTTTCTGCAGAATTTTGTTGAACGAGTTGAAAAGCCTTCAACCCCGCAGCTCTTGTTACTGCCTGTCATGGAAGCCACTCTTATTCCACAGTATATTTTTATTCCTATGTACATACGTATGTATATATGTATGATTCCCTAATACTTGGCAGGAGTACTTAGAAAATTTTCGTCTAAAAAGAGTACTAACATAATTTATTCTTACTCCCTCTTTGTTTTTTAATAGATAGTTTCCACCCTCATACCTACATATATGAGCATCAGAAATATAGTTTAACTAATTAATTAATGACTTTCTTCCATCAGTTAACAGAACAATTTAAATTATGAGACGAAAATGTCCAAAAATAAAATTGGAATCAGAATACTATTTGAAGTGGCAATAGATCCAGGAGATCCTCGGAATTTCAAAATAATTAAATAAAATTGCCAATGTAGTGGAATTCGTTTTTTAATTTATTAACTTCGAACCACTCCTACACAAAGCAGATATAATATATAGGTCTGATTTGTGGAGCAAGCAGAGCTAAATTGCGGAACCTCATGTAAGACACGCCTGTTTTACTTTTCAAATTAAAATATCGCACAGTCTGTACGTTGTCTTTAGACCTTAAAATGTCGCTGACGTTCTGCGTTCTATTTTTTCTGATCGTCCAGTGTGCTAAGGTAAGTTCGAATCCAAACTATCACAAAACATTAACAAAGTTTACTCTCAGTTAGATGAATCTGAGAGCCAGGATATAAGGACAGCATTGGAAGATGTCATGTTAAACGCAGAAAGCGAAGATCAGCGTTATGATGAACCAATGTTAAGGAGAGAACCCCAGAATACAATTCAAAGAGCCCCCAAACAGCAGAAAATAATAAGCATATTATCCAAATGCAGACGAAGTAAGGTTACGATGAGTACCTATATAGCTACAGACCTTGTGCCAGCTGTCCCAACATTTCTGTATTGTATCAAAAATGTCTACATAACAGGCACACCACCTCCATCTATAACAAAGGATGGTGATACTGCCCTAACGTTTGCCGAAAAGTTCACTGCAGCAATAAAAGGTTCCGTAAAGACTCTTTTAAAATTGCTAGATACATGTTTTGGAATAGAAGGGGTCAAAAACTGTGCATCTAAAATGTATAAAGCTTTTCAAAAACTAGAAGGACTAAGCGCTGCTGTCGATAAACATTGTGATTAGCTTTTTTTAAAGTACTAATAAAAATATATTTGTTTGATTTTAGAATACTTTAAGACTAATGTGGCAGACTAAAAGAACTAGTAATGGGTCTGAGTATATCTATGTCAGCCACAGTGTCTATATCATTCACAAAATTCCGAGTTTCAGAAAAACGTTTAAATATTTTTATTAAGATTCCCATACTTGAAGGGATTTCCATTACATTCTACTTAATGCAAAATAATTACAAGCTTCTTGACAATTTAATCCACCTTTAAACTCCAATTGAACTGTCTAAATAATTTTTATGCTACTTTTTAATCAGTTAAACATTTAGCTGTTTTGGAACACGTCATAAGCAAAAATCAAATAAATTTTCAACGGGCATCTAACCATTAACAATCACCGAACATCTAAATTAATAGGAACGCAGGCTACGCTACACAACTGTTCTGAAAAGTCTGAAGAATGTCAAAAATATGAGACTTTATGGAATATCTATTTATTTATTATGTCGACAATTCCATAACCATATTTACAACTATTAGTCACGGTTGATTCACGATTCGCTTTGTTATATTGAAAATATTCGCAGTTGCAAGTGATATTCAACATGCTTCTGAAGTTTGGTTTAATATTTTCGCTTCTGATTAACTCTGTTGTCGTAAGTTCCTAAAGGTTTTTTTTCTTTTTTCCATTCGTTCAAGTGAAATGATTATTTTGAAAATTTTTTCTGGCCGACAGTCGAAGATATCGCAAGACTTGAACGAAGCTTCTGAGACTCGAACAAGAGAGATTGCTAAAGGATTAAGGGAAAAAAGGATATTCGAGGCCATTGGTGCAGCTCTGAGGGAAAAAGGTAAATTGGCGAAAGGAATACTAAATTCTGTAGTAGGAGGAGTAGCAGAATATGCAGCAGCTCCTATTACGAAAGATTTAACGAAGAAGCAAGATTCCATTATTAGTGACAATATAGATAAACTGGTGAGCATATTTTCCAATTGCACGATGTCACAAGTTACATTGACTACGCATGTAGCTAAAGAAGTTGTGCCAGCTACGCCCTCGTTTCTACAATGTGTTAGGCAAGTATATAAGGCACGCGCACCACCCGCAGCCTTAAACAAAATAGCTGGATCTGCTAAGGAATTTGGGTATGCATTTATTTCCGCTGTAAAGGGCAATAACAGCAAACTACTTAATATGTTAAAGGATGTACTTGCGATCCCCCAGGTTCATAATTGTGCAAATGTCATGCACAAAGCTTATAAAAAATCTGCTTCACTGCAGGAAAAAGTAGATGAAGAATGCAAATAGGTTGTTTGATGGTAACAACAACTCGTAATACTAAACACTGTCGACTTGGAAAACGAATTGTTCCCAATTGACAACAACTAAAAGGCAACATTGTAATAAATTCAAATTGTTTCGAAGCTAAGAGCAATCGCTGATATATTGGGTATGACTTAACTGTTAACTTATTTTATTTAATTTGATCAGTTTCATGGATTTCAATAAAAATGTAAAAACAAACAACTGAAAACCAACATGGCGAACCATAAGAGCTGCTTTATAATAAAATAAATGCTTAATTCTTGCTAATCGCACTCACAAATTGTGTTTGGCAGGGTTGTCCATCAAACAAGATTTATATTTCAAATTAAATAAATTGTAACATCGCTTTCATCGGTAGGTTTTTATCTCATTAAGAGATTTTCGGATCCAAAAGTACACACCAAATGGCAGATGCATTAAGTGAGCTTGCTGGGCAGAGAACGACTGTGGTCATGAGTGTGACCGCAGCAAACAACATCGGCGGCTGACTCAGCGTCGTAGTCGCTGCCGGAAATGAGTAAAAACGACTTCCGAGTAGCACAAATTGAGGCTCGAATAGGTATTAAAATTTTTGACGCCCAACTGTGGGACATCGCTGCAGTTGGGTGAGCATGCCTTACTGCCAGTGTTGGTGGCACGGGTGCCAACAGCACGTCGGCGAGAAAGCAGCGGCATTTGCAGTGTAGCGGAAACACGCCCAAAAAAGTATGCAACAAACTTTTTCTGCAAGCCTCCGACAAGCAAAGTTTCAGCAGCTTAAAATTGTTGTTGTTGTTGTTGTTGTTGCTGCTGATGCTGATGTTGCCGCTGCACCCGCCACCACTTGTTTGCTGGCATGTAAGTTGTTTTAACTCAAATTTTAATTATGATTTAATGTCAAAATACGGAAATAATTTGCGGCAACAACTTTCATCTGTCGTCGCTCGCATATTTTTATTTCATGTGGCAGCAATTGCTTTTCTGTTTACGTTTCGGCTATGTTTGCAAAAAAATGTCTGTGTATAGAGAATGGAGAGTTTTATGTAAGTTAATTACTTTGAAAATCAAAGCAGTTGTCTTTACTCTTTTTCTAAAGTGTTAGTGTGCACTGTCAAAGACAAAATATTTGCATTACATTTATTTTTAGAATAACGAAATAAAATCTATTATGATTATCTATGTAGGAATATTTTTTCGATACATTTTCATGATGTAGTTTTTAAATTTCAGTTAACAATTATTGAGCATATAGACTTATATGACTATAAAAGCGAAATGTAAAATTTAATTAAATGGAAGCTGTAAGTTTTGACGGAAATAAAATTTAAAATAATCTATTTACTGTTCAAAAACAATTTGTTTCATTTATTTAAATATTTTTAAAAGTCAAGGAAAAGAATCAACACGTTTCCCATTTCTACTTTTATTAAAAAGTGAGAGCGCCGTTTCAAGGATAATGAAAATGATAATGAGGCGTTTGTTTATACTTGTATGAAGCAGATGACAAAAACTCTGGCACTCTGTCTGTGCACATACATAGCACATACTATATATAGCAAGCTGTTTATGTATGCAGTTGCTATCGCCTCGTAAAAGTGTATTTATTTGTTATTGGCAAACAGAACAAAATATTTCTCACAAAAGCAATATGTAAAATGTGAATGAAAAGCCACAAAAAAAATATTGGACACACATGTCTAAACGTACAACACATATGTTTGTCTGTCAGTGTGCCTTGTTCGTGTTTTGGCCATTTTGCTTGTTATGTGCTTTGGCTACATTTTCGTGCACTTTTATTACATTTCCTACAAAACATTTTATTGTCAAGCAGAAGATGAACAAAATCCCCATAAAAACTGAAGTGTCTAAATATATTTACATTTCGTAGTGGTCCTTGAGGCGGGAACAGTTGAGGGGAAGCATAAATGGTAATGTTTGTTAAATTGTTGTCGTAGCCCATTTTTATTTGTCGATGATTAATTTACATTTTCCACTTAAAGCTTAAATCGCCCAGACTGGCCATCAGTGAATCAATGCGTGAATAAAGATTTTAACAGAAGAACTTATATTGACTTACTTCTGATTGACTATATTTCCAAGATAAAGAAGTACATCGGATCAATAAATACAGGAGACGAATAGCACATCACGCTGTCTAAATAGGTAGAGGTTTTCAAGAAACCCAAGACTTTTTGTCCACATAAATGAGCTCTATATAACACATATAATTAATTTAAAATTCAATAGGAATAAAAAATGCCATTTGAGTCTTCCATATAAAGTTTAACTTTTGGAGACATTTCATATAGAATATTATGCGGATAAGGATTTCTAGCAAATAAATAAATTCTACCTGATGATATACTTACACCCCACAGATTGAGTGAAAAATGAGAAACAAATCTTGAATATTTTGTTGAAGAGTGGATATAAAATAGTAGTAATTTTTGATAAACTATATACTATATACAAATGCCATTCTTAAACCCTCGTAGGAGTAAGATATGCTGCAAATACATATCGACAAATTGATTTAGAGCAGATATGTAATAAGTTTTGGTTGCCTTTCCTACTTCTTTACATCTTCTGCTCAATATAAAAAACTTTGCTAAGTATTTAGAAATTATGTTTTCATAATTTTTATGCGGAAAAAATGCCGGCTATTTTACGAGTATGACGGTAACTTCATCCCCTCACATAATGTTCTCTCATCCTTCCACATGTTGCTTTATTTTCTAGTGGAAGTTAAGCGGTCCGCACACAAGCGCAAATCCAATATATACATACTTGAACATGAATTGGTTACAAGCAATAGGGAACTACCCTCCCGAATATTGGCCAAAATGTACTTACAATGTTTGCTCTTCTCGGCTGCCACTTGGCGTTGTGGTGCTTGGGCCAAAATGGCAAAAAGCATCAGCAGCACTAGAAGCCATTTGGGAGTGGCGGCCAGGCTGCGTTCCGATACGCGCGCCTTTTGTTTCTTCATATTGTAGATGCTGTTGTTGGTGTTGTTTGTTATGCTAAAGCCATCAGCATTAGCGCGCCCATCATCATCAGCGGCATCACTGGGAGCAACAACATGGGCGGACTCTGGCGGCCCGGGCCCACATGATGTTGGCATCAGCAGCATTTTCGCTTTTGTGGCTCTATTTTCGAAATTTGTGCCAACGTTATAGATGTTAATGTTCTTATTGTTGTTGCATCAAAAGTTTGTTGTTGGTTGTTGATTTTAGTTTTGCTTTTGTCGCACTCGTCGGCTTTGTTCTTTCACTTTGGCATGCTTTATTTGTGCTCGCGAATGTCATTGTATTGCAATTAAAAGCTTTCATTTATGAATTTTCCTACAACGCCCACACGGCGTATACGCAATGGGCATTGCAATAATGCTTGACAATTTCAGTAGTTGCATAGGAAAAGTTTAGTTTTAGTTTCTGGTACTTTCGTTCAATCTGCAAATGAGAAAAAACAATTTGTTATATATATAAACACATTACCTCATACTTAATACTTAGAGCTTACTTATTTAATTTAATATATTGTAAGCTATTGATGTCGCTTAGAGCTGCTACATATTTATTTTAAATGTAACTTAATACAGAAGGGGACATTCCGAAATTTCCTAATGAATTTCCCATATTTTGGAACTGCATGGTATTGTTATCTTATTAGGTTGGATAGCACCAATTTAATTTTGGCCAAGACTAAGCTGAGATTTTATGAAATTATGTGTTTCAATCGATAACCCCATGTTGACCATGCCACTCTCATATGCAAATGCGAGGGGAAATTAAACTTAGTTAGTGTCCTTCTTGGCCGCGCTTTACATTTATGCCAGAGAAAATATCACATATGCAAATCGAGAAATCAATGCATAAATTTATCGAGTCCGCTTCAGAACAGCGGGAATGGTGAACGAGACAGGGACATGGGTGCAGTTAAGACTACATTTACAAAAAGACATATTACGTATACGCAATGCAGCACTTTATCATAGAAGTGCAGCCCGAACCCGAGCCCGAGCCCGAGCACAAGCCGCTGCCGGATTCGAAGCTGGAGCCGGAGTCAGGGCCGGATTCCACACGGTCATGAATACATTGCCATTATGCAGTTATGCATATGTGAGTGTCTGCATCTGCAGTTGCTCCGTTCGTGTGAGTGTGCGTATGTGGGTGCGTGTTAAAAAATAATGAGCATCAACTGCACAGCTTGGCAATAAGAATCTAGCCGTTGATTTTAAAGTGCTGCCGGGCGCAGCTGGGACTGCGAATGGTATTGGGAGTTGAAAGTGGTGCTGGGACTTGGGGTTGGGCTTAGGATTGGTTTGGCGCGGTGGGTCGTCATCCACGTTTGTTATTTAGTGGCGTTCCGACTGTGTCAGCAACAGGACTTGGGCGCCCACAGGAAGCCAGGCACAGCGGGCAGCGGCAGCAATCGCTGCTCCTTTGTGCGCTCAAAGTTTATCACATTAGAAATCAGCGGCAGCAACCAACGAGGCACAATATGAAGGCAAAACTCATGGGCGGTTGCCCGGCTGCCTGCCATGATTTTTTCATTCTTTTTCACTTCGAATAAAGCAGAAATAATAATGAGAAGCCAGGAGCAGTAGCGATGGTGGTGATGGTGGTGATGGTGGCAACAACGCTGAAGAGGGAACTGAAGATTACGTTCATGGGGCAGAGTATAGTAAAGAAAAAAAAACACATCGCACTTATTTTGTTGTGCTTTATTTTACGCTGCCTCTGCCGCTTTCTTGCACCAGTCTCAGAGCTCAGTCTTTGAAATGTTGGCCCGGCTACTTGTGTGCCCGTGTGTGCGTATGTATGTATGTGTATATCTGTGTGTCACATGCACGCGAACTGTTTGTTATCCTTCGAGCGTTCCAATTTCTACTTTAATTAAATTTTATTATAGTTTCGCTCATCTTTGTGCTTCGTTTTGACTGTGTTTCTTACCACAGCCGTTGGGCTCAGCTTCTGGCCCCTAATGCAGAGTGCTTTTATTTTACTTTAGCAGTCATCCGCTCCAGGGCACTTTTCACATAAGTCTCCTGCCATAACGTCCTCGGCCTGTTGGCTTAGTCAGTCGTCTTTAATGCTTGATAAGAACCATTTCACTTCTTTATGCTTACTGTGATAATGTTAATTGAATAAAGACACAATTCTCGGCTAAACGAAAGCACCACCTATTCGGACAGTATAATAACGTAATACAGAAGACTGAATAAATTTCTTTTTCTTAAATAAGTCAATTATGATATTAAAATGTATGTACAATATTCCAACAATATTCTTTTTGTATTGATTGATTTATGACTGTTAATTTTAAAGGAAAAATCTTCAAACTCAAATCGCGAATAGTCTCTGTTGATGATATAAAAAATTTGGAAGGCTAGTAGGCTAGGCTTAAGATTAAATAATATTTTACTAGCCCCTGAAAGGGTAACCTCTTGTATAAAAATTTAAAACAAGTTGTTCTTTGAAACGACTCTAAAATATTAATGAAATACCCCATAGTAATATGAAAGTAAGTACAGGCAATTAAATAAGTAATCACCTGTCCGCAAATTTTTCATCGGAAGATTTGTGCCTAAAAGGATTTTAAAATTATTTGTTTAGTTTGCCTTTTTACCAGAATGTATGTAGTTATTTAAAGGAGTGCCCATTTTGGTATTGTTGTTGACATCACCATGGTAACCACCACAGCTAATGGTCGGGACTAAACACCAATATTTCCCGTGGAAAGCATTCACAAAAATTCGTTGTTTAACTTTTTTAGGAATATTTTATTTCGGGTTTTTTTTTTTTTTAATTGCAGCAAAAATAATTAGTTTTATGTTTTAATTGCCAACGAAGGCCATTTAGAAAATTAAAAAAAATGCAAAAGGTTTGACGGTCAACCTTTAATGCGTTTTCATGAATGTGAAAGGGTGGAGTAAGGGGAGAGGAAATGAGAGAGGCAGTTTCTGTAATTTACCAAGCCCCCCAGTCCGTAGAAGCATAAAATGTAATTGTGGTATTAGCCTTACACACAAACATATACCAACGTACATATGTAGTGCTACATCATTTGTTAGAGCAGGATGGCATGTCAGTTCGTGTCTAAGCTGGTCCCGTTAGTATAGTGTGTGTGGCATGATAAACGAGCAAGGGAAGCCGCATAAATTTCGCAGGCATATCAACAAACAGCCCAAAAGTAAAAACAGTAACTACAATAACAATAGCGACATCGCAGCAAAACAACAAAAGCCGCTTTAACCAACGAATGAAGTAGTAGCAACACTAACAAAAACAACTGGTAAGTGCATAAAATAAAAAGAAGATGTACGAAATAGGCAGCATGAAAAAGTGAATAAAAAAAAAAACAATACGCGGCACACAATTAATGGCCCCTGTAGGGTTTCACGGAAATCGCTTTGTAGCTTCAGTGTGTACGTATGTATAGTATGTGTGTGTATATGTGCGTGAGTGTGTAACCATTTGTATGTGGTTTTGCTTTTGTTCTCTGTTATTGTTTCACTTTGGCTGTCGCTTTTATTAATGCACTTATGTACATACAAGTATATGTACGCAGGATTGTTTTTGAATATCTTGTTTTTAGCTTTCACCACTATATAGTAAAAATGGACTGCCAACAAATGCAAACGGTACTTTTTCCTGTTTGTCTCCCCTTCCCAGGCCACAAATAACAATAAATAAGCAACATCATTTCATAAGCCCCCAAAAGTATGCTTCGATTTTTGTACTTTAATAACTTAAAGGCTGGTTTTAAGGATTTTGACTTTATTTAACACATCTAGCCAATTTTAAAACATTTAATTTTTTCAGGAAACCAATGCTGGAAAACTTGTACCGATATTTATGCAATTTTGTATTCAGTTTTTAGAAATAAATAGAGCCAAACAGGGTATTACAACATAACTTTTTTCAATGGTCATGTTTTCGTACTTTTATATCTTTCATTAGAAAGCATTTTCTACTTATTTTTCATTTGATTATCCTTGGCTACCATTGTTACAAAGACCATTTTTTAAATTTAATAATAGCGTTTTAACATTCTTGTCCATACAAAAAGGCTCGGTGCGAAGTTTTAATCTGATTCCAATAAAACTGAGGAGGAGTAGTGATTGATACTGCGATTTGGATTCGCTTATAATGCTGGTCTTACTTATATATACTGGTAGAATAGAAAAGAATACTAATGATTGACTTTTAAAATTTCCGAACATAAGCTCCTTAGAATAGCCTGTAACCCAAGTAAAGGTTCACACTCTTCATATATCTGTTTAAAGCTGAACAAATATGTTTCATATATAAACTGAGAAAGCTAAAAGTATCTCTTACCAATTTTAATTGTTTGCCTAAAAAATCTTTAGAGACATGCTTTGTAATATATACCAGTACAAATTCCAATTCCAAATCCTGAGAACAATGACAGCACTAAATCATACCTTCTTTTGTTTTTGGTCTCAAGCGCACATAGATACACACATACATATCAATATATTTGTCAAAGTAAGTGTGTGTGTGTGTGTGAATGTGTGTATGAACTGCAAGCTGTTATGGACAAAAGAAATTACGTTATAACGGCAGAATTTTTTACTCGTATGTTGGCAACACTTTGCCGACAGCCCCAACAACGCACAATCGACGCGCCGGCGAATGGACTTTACTCAGCCGCCGTCTCGATTTCCGCACGACTACCCTACTACCATTCTGGGCCATTGTGGCCGTCTGTGCCTTCAATCGCTAGTCGCCCCTGTCTGACAGTCTTGCGTCTGCAGTAGCAGCAGTAGCGTGTCTATTAGTCTACTGAATGAGTCTGTCTGCTATAAGCAACAACAGCAACAATGATGGTGTCAGTGTTGGCCACCTACGTGTCACTCGCGCCATTCTGCATGTGTCTGCTCGGACCCGAACTGGTACTTGTGAGTGTGCGAATGCGAATGCGTGTGTCAGTCTGTGTTTCATTGCCGAATGAGTAATTTTTTCAGGCCAGCCAAAAAGCCGCACGGTATTGTTTTGTTGCTTTTTTTTGCCACCTCTTTCATGGTGAACGACTTTCCCCGTTTTCTTTTTTTTTTGCTGTTCCTGCCACAAGTTAATGTGTGAGTGTGTACATTTTTTTTACCAATTTTATACCGGTCTGTTTCTTTTCTTTACTTCTTGTTGTACACCCACGACTTCGTGCTTCATGTCGTTGCCATTCGTTGGTGTTGGTGGTGCCCCTGCGGCAACATTACAGAATTTACGCCCACAAGAAACCGTTAAATTACCGAATAGCAAGCGAAAAAAGCAAGCCATTATTTTAGAGCATTTCAACGCCTTTAAATATTGATATAAATTGATTGTGAAAGGTAATATTTTTCACCTGCCCTCTTCCTTTAACAGCTATTACTTATTTATCTATTTTCCTATGTTTAACTTTGTTCCGGACATGGCTCATTTTCCCAGTTTCTACTTCTATTATTATCCTGAACTGCGAAAGAGTTCTGAGCCATTGCATGGCCATAAAATATCTACAAGACAAATTAATTTCAAAGGCGCAAGTTATTTTAGTGGAAAAATTATAGTTCAGATTATGATTATGTATCAGATTTTAATGTTTTTTTTTTTCAATTGGTGGCGGACAATGAATTAATTATGGGATAACATTGTCAATGTAAAATGGAAGGACTTTTAAAGGATGTTGTTATTTACAGCGGTGAATATGTGTTTCATTTTTATTTTAATTATTTTTTTTTATTTTGTCTTTTTTAAAATTCAATTTAAATTAAGATTGCCTTGCGTTTGCAGTCAACGATCACAATGTACAGATAAGGGTCTATCATTGCTCCGTTGAATAACATTTAAATTTTATAAAATATAGTTAAAATATCTTAAATTCCTTGAATAAGCAAATAATAATCTTAGAATCTAGTAAGCCATTGTTTTTTGTGTGAATCGTAGGTATGAAGTAATTGATGTTTTAAAAATTGTTCACTTTTAAGTTCAATCATATAGAGCTTCATCAACATGCCAGAGGTCATTCAATTAGCTGGTGTACTTGCCGGACACAGCGGTTGGGTTACACAAGTGGCGCCGCATCCACGTGATCCCGAAATATTGGTCTCAGCATCGCGTGACAAGACCATCATTGTTTGGCGCTTGACACGCGATTGTCAGAGCAACTACGGCTACCCACTGAAGCGTCACTATGGACACTCACATTTTATCAGCGACGTGGTTCTCTCATCGGATGGAAACTATGCGTTGTCCGGCTCTTGGGATCATACCTTGCGCTTGTGGGACCTCACTGCCAGTGTAACTACACACCGCTTTGAGGGTCACACCAAGGATGTGCTTTCAGTAGCCTTCTCGCCGGACAATAGGCAGATTGTGTCCGGATCGCGTGATCGCACGATCAAACTGTGGAATACCTTGGCCGACTGCAAGTACACCATTCGCGAGGAGTGTCACAGCGATTGGGTGTCCTGCGTACGGTTCTCGCCAAAGCAAGCAAATCCACTTATTGTCTCGTGCGGCTGGGATCGCACGGTTAAGGTGTGGAACCTGACCAACTGCAAGTTGCGTAACAATCATCATGGTCATACTGGCTATCTTACCACGGTAGCTGTCTCTCCCGACGGCTCGCTCTGCACGTCAGGCGGCAAAGATGCCAAGGTTCTCTTCTGGGACCTCAGCGATGGTCGCAACTTGTATCCCCTGAACCATCACGATGTTGTCAATGCAATGGCCTTCTCCCCCAGTCGCTACTGGCTCTGCGTCGCATGTGCCTCCACCATTACTGTATGGGATTTGGCTTCCAAGAAGGCTGTGTTCGAATTGTGGCTGGACGATGTGACGCCCACCACAAAGGGAGATCAGCCACACTGTTTGTCGCTGGCATGGTCCAGTGATGGCCAAACTCTCTATGCTGGCTACTCAGACAATATGGTTCGGGTCTGGCAGGTTTTATCTGGCGCTACCGCTTAGTAAAACAAACTCTGGCCATCTAGTCGCACACATAAGGTGCATTGTAAAATGAAAAATATTTTGATATCTACATATAAGCTGATTTGTTTATTCTATGTTATAAAACACTCAAACACTTTTCTTTAACGATGCAAATATCTTCTTATTTTTAAACATATTTTAACACGACATCATTTGAGGCATAAAGAATAGTAATGGGAATAATTCATCAAATATTTTGGGAATTTTTACGCGAAAGCTATTTGTTTTATAAATTTCTTCATATACAAAATACAAGTACATACTCGTATGTATGTATTCTAACCTCAGATAGCCGTTCGAATTATTCTGTCTGCTGTGCCATTTGTGATTTGTTTTCTTTTTTTGTGCAAATACGCAGCTCAAAAGCAACTTTTTCCATAATTCTCATGCCACTTTTGACACTCGCCTCGCTCAGCGCCAATATTGCAAATCATGAGATTCAACTGCGATAGGATTGGCTGGCAAAATGCGAAGAAATAGAAAAAACGACAAGGTTGCGCTTGTTGACTAGAGAGCGTAACGAGTGGCAACTGCCAAACAAGCTGCCAAAGCGGCAATACCCCAAGCTAGGGACGACCACGATAAGGGGAATCAAAAGGGAAAAACATGCACAAAAATCAGTTCTTTCTTTGATTTCCTCCCGGCTCCCGTTCTCGTCATCGAAGACGATAAGCATCGCCAGATTAACAGCCAGACAAGCAGACGCGAATGCGAACCCAATTGGGAATGGCAGGCCTGAGAACAAGGAACCGCAATCACATTTATTTATTTTTGTATGTTAAGCATTTGGCAGTTTTTTCATTTCGGCGTTGATAGCATTTCATTGGTGTCCACTGCAGCATTCGCATATCAGCAAATAATTTGACAGACGCACAAATGTGGAAATGGGTGGCAGTTTTGGGACCTTGGTTGAATCAGAACGCAACGCAACGCATGAAAGGGTCGAGGTCACACTAATGATTAATACGCCTGTTTGCCTCTTATACTCGTATACTCGTATGTTTGTATGTATGTATCTATGTATGTTGGGGATGTGGCGTGCTTAGCAGCAACAACACAGCCACAGAGGCCATGAAATTTCTGTATGTACACATGTATAACATCGTTAACACATACATACATACACGTACATTACAGGGCCCGCTAACGCCGCAGACACATAAATTTGTACAATTCTTTTAATAAACAATTTCTGACGTGCAACTTAGCGTGTGCTTTTAAGTAAACACTTGGGAAAGTGCCACAGAAGGCAATATGGGGAGCAGGGAAGCGTGTATAGTATATTGTAATCACGTCAATTTGTTATTGCACAAAGTCATAAATATTTCTACAGAGCTCTGGTCATAACGAAAACATGGCGATTAAATGTGCGAGAGGTTGCCAATTCAAACAAACAAATTTGTATTGCGTTCAAGGTCCATCTTCTTCATTCCTTCTAGTGCAGATCAATCTATTCAGACAATGCCAAATGTTTATGGGATTATACATATTGCTAACACATTTTTTACGAACACATAATCACATCATTTGATAGTTTCTCAGATATAATTATACGAACGGAAAATCGGGAAATCCCCACTATCGGGGTAATGGGGGAAAATCATAAATTAAATAAACTTGCACAGCGTACACACATAAGATCTCTTCGTACAAAATTTCGTGTCTCTAGCTCTTATAGTCTCTGAGATCTAGGGGTTCAGACGGACGGACGGACAGACAGACAGACATAGATCGACTCGTCTTGTCATGCTGATCAGGAATATATGCATATACTTTGTGAGGCCTGCCACGGCTCCTTCTGGCTGTTACATTTTTTACCTCCCAATACTCTTGTACATTTCATGTACAGAGTATAATAACCGTAGCTTTTAGTACATAGTCGGTTTTTGCTGGCATATTTGTGAAGACAATTGAATATCATCCATAAGATATATCCGGCTATAATTTGCGATTATTTACTCATTTGTTAAGCTCGTATTAATTCAGAATTATAATGTTTGAATTCTGTTCCGCAACATTCCTGTAAAGATATGTTTGTAATATGAACTCGTCAACACCTGCCTGTTCACCATAAGTAACATACGCCTCGTAAGCAGTGTTCATTACACATCCTGACCCTGGTTACTTATATACTTGAACGTTCAGAAACTTACGCTCATGAGCATGTATGCTGCAAGCTGCTTGTATGGGTGGCTCTACTTTTACACATTTGTTGTGTACGTGTGTGTACATTAATATGCGTATACGTGAAGGACTTTTCAAATCGACCACTACGCCTAAATGAAGCGCAAGCGAGACAGCAATATTAACAGTGCGCGTATGTAACAGTGAAATGCTAACGACTCATGCCGCATTAACTGAGAGAAGAGCTCCTGACATTTCGTAAATCTCTCATTTCTCATCTCGCACTCGTTGTCGGCACTCGCATTCGTACACTCTCTCTCCCAATAATACTCGCACGTAGTAGTTGCAGGCGTAAAAATGTGTAAAACTCAACTTGGCGGCTCGCCGCTCTGATGAATGAGATTAACAGTTACACATCACACAGCACAGCCCGAAACTGAAAGCGCCTTGCCTTGCCTGCCAACGAAAGCAACCCCCTCAGCGCGTGCACACACAAAGCAACACCAACACACACACCAGCACACACACCAACGCACATATCAACCCTACAAACCAGCAATGCACTTGATGGGCAGTTTCGGTTCCTCCTCCTGCGGCTTCTGATGGTGTCTTTTGGTCTGTCGCTTCTACTCGCTACTTTTTGCTTTACAACTGTGATGTGTACTTTTTACGCGCGCGCCTGTGTGCGTGTATATGTATGTATGTATGTATTTGTATTGCTGTTGTTGCCATTGCCTTGGCGCTGCTCTTTATGCCTTGGTGTTGGGTGGAAGTGGGCGGGTGTCGTAGGATATGCGCTATGCTGCGCTTATTTTTTCCCCTTTCTTTTTCCTCATTCGTCTTAGTTGGTTCAGTTTTTATTTTAATATTTTTTAATGAGCTTTTTGGTTTCTCGTACGTTTACTTACTTGGGTGAAATTCTTTTTCCATAGCCCGTTTCTGCTGTTTCAGAATTAACAAATTTTCTTTTCGCCATAGCGTTGATATCTTGTACTCCTGTTTTTTGACTCAATGGGTACGAGGCTGTCGCCCCCGATGTCGTCGGGATTTTACACACTTTGCACAATCAAATTTAATTCAGCACTTCACTTAAGCTATACCCAGAGCAGAGGCATCCTTTAGCCATTTGGTGGTGGCATTTTATATTGTTTTACTATTTTATATTTGATATTTTACACATTGACGGATAGTGCACGGCACCGCGCTATGAGTTTGCGATGGGCAGCGCTGATGGCAACAGCGATGTTTGCGCGTTTCAACGTTTCCAACTCGAATACCAAGCACTAATAGCGCCAGCTACAGCGCCAAGTGTGTGTGGTACTCGATTTCGTCACTCGTTATATGGAAGGAGCGACTCGCTAGTTGCTGATTGCTGTTATTTTGCCGCTTGTGTATTTATCGATTGAAAGTTCTTTACTGCGAGAACGGGACAACGTTACTGTGCACCACGCGAGCATAGAGAAAGTAGCAACACGTCATTTTGACAATGTTGAGGTGGACTGCAAACTTACATGATTCGATTTCTAGGGCTAAAATGTTAATCTTTTGCATTTCTTTTGTGTGAAGAGGACTTCAAAATTTCGGTCATTCTTTTTCAGCCCACACATTTAATAATACCACTATTTATCACATTACCGTTACGGAGGGCTACTGCTTGACGTGCGCTCACGTCGCTGCAGCCACATCAACTAAAGTCAAATTGGAACTTAACTGCATTCAAAAAAAAAGAAAAAATAAAAAAAAATACCGGCGTCAACGACGCCACTCAGTCTCAAACCCACCCCATCAACAATGTAAAATGCATTGCTCGCCAGTCCCTTAAGCGTACTCTTTTTCTCTTTGGCTGGACATCGCTGTTGATTTTCAACTACAATTTTGAGTATTTCTTTCAGTGTAAGCACTCGAATTTACCGCTCTTTAAACTCGTATAGCAATGGAGATCTCTGGTAAATATATGTATACATTTGATAACTATATGTTACATACTCGTATGATAATATAATATTTTTCTAAAAACTTTTTTGATTTTGATCTATTATACCTTTTAAAGGATTTGAACTCACGTGAAGAGTAACACGGGTATCTGTGTTGTCTAGGCGTATCTGTGTGTCATGTGTTCAGTACAGAGTTGGGCCAAAGCAGCAACAACAACAATAGCTGCTGGCAGACCTTCGGCAGAGATTACATTTATATATACTTATAACTTCTTATAATTTCTTTAAAATTGGCTTATCATGATGAAACGGACACATAAGCACTAACAGAAAATAAGTGTCAAATGTGAGACGTGTGCAGAGAGCTGGAGGGGTTGAGAAAAATATTGAAATGCACTTGTACGATGTACTCATATAGTATAAGGCAGAAGTCTGCACAAAATTTGATCTCTAGCTCTTATAGTCTCTGGAATCCAAGTGTTCAAATGGACAGACAGTCAATTTAAGCTCTTTTAAAGATATCTTAGACATCAGCAAGTCCACGTGCGGGACCAATCTATTAAGATGAAGCCTAGTGTGATCCATCTGTCTGATTCTGCTCGCCTTAATAGCTGGCTTGAGCGTACCGCTGATCATAAACTTATTGGGGGCTGAGGAAATTCTCAACATACCCGGGGGTACCCCACCATGAAGTCCAAACCTGGTAACCAGGTGAATTGAATTATTTATAAAGCTCCGATAATGAAGGAAACAAAATCATAACACTCGTAACATGTCAAAAATAATTGTAAATATTTTGGAATAATTTGAAACTATGCATTTTTCCAATAAACGTTCCCTATGTTGCTGCTCTTCCTAATATCAGTATTCTTCCAGTGTTTCTCTTCCTAAATATTTATATAGTGGCCGGCTTCTGCTTAACCTGTATGGTAGCTGTGTTGTTTAATAGGGGCACCACTGCAACTGCCGTTATAACAATCGTAAACACGCTAACATTCCTACCTTTTCTTGCCGTTAAATATTTTTATGAAAAGATGGACCTAGTAAGCAAGCTCGCCTTGTGTCTTATATTTCCTAATACGGGAATGGGAATCGGGGTGCAGGTAATTTTGGAATGGGAAAATTCGGGAGATGGCCTTCGGTGGGGAACCTTTTTCCGCTCGGTCTCGATAGACGATTCTATATCACTTTTTTTTGTTTGTCTTATGTTAACAATAGGATCCATTATATTCATGTTAGCCTGTCTATATGTGGAGCAAGTATACCCAGGTAACTACGGTGTAGCTCGGAAATGGAACTATACATTCCAACTCAAAATTTGGCGGTCACTTTTGGGGTTGGCTCTTACCTCCTGAAATTACTGTCTTGCTGGGCCACAACGGTGCTGGAAAGACAACAACCATACAGATGCTTACCGGCACTGTCGCGCCAACGTCAGGAACAGCCATTATCAATGGATGCGACATCCGAACCCAGCTTAGATATGTCCGGAGCTCGCTTGGGATTTGCCCGCAGCAAAATGTTCTCTTTAACGAAATGAGCGTTCGCAATCATCTCGTTTTCTTCAGCAGAGTAAAGGGCTTGAAAGGATATGAGCTAAATAATGAGGTGGACAAATATTTGAAAATAATGGGGCTAGAGGAAAAGAAACGTGTTGCCGCTTCCAAGTTATCAGGAGGCATGAAGCGCAAGCTTTCCGTCTGCTGCGCTCTTTGCGGAAACACAAAAACCGTGCTTTGTGACGAGCCTAGCTCGGGTCTGGACGTATCTGCCATCTATGGGATCTACTGAGATCTCAAAAAGCCGGCCGCACCATTTTAATAACCACACACTACATGGATGAAGCAGACGCACTAGTGGATCACATCGCCATTATGAGCAATGGCCAGCTACAGTGCCACGGCACGTCTTTTAGTCTTAAAAGGCATTTGGAGGGCTATGGTGTAAGAGTGGCCACATTGGAGGATGTTCTACAGCAGGTTGGTCTTATGCGTTGGAGAGCGATGTTTATGAAGAAGGCTTTGACAACCCAGCGTAGTTACTGGCTACTGATTCTTCAACTGGGACTACCAATTCTTTTTATGGGGGTCGATTTTAGTATTTATATCAAAATCTGCACCAAGTACTCTTCCCCCCATGCATGTTTCTTTGAAGAATTATCCGAATGCCTACGTGGTTCTGGAAGATGTCAGGAGAGACAACGAAGCCGATCTCAGTAGCTTACGCTAACTATATTGGCTACCAAGGTGGGGGAGTGAAGCTGCTGAGCACCAGTGGCGCAGACTTCGAGGAGTATATACTGGATGTGTCGAAAGAAAAGCGCTCCCTTGTTGATAAAGAGTACGTGGCCGGTGCGACCATTTCGGAAAGTAGTCTAACCGTCTGGTTGAACAACAAACCATTTCATACGGCCCCCCTAACACTTAACATACTTCACAATGCTCTGGCCCGTCATCTGTTGGATTCGAAGGCTGAAATAGATGTAACTCATGCTCCTCTGCCATATAGTAAGCACACACTTGCCAAGCGATTAGAATCGCGCAATCAGTTGGGATTCCAGATGTGCTTTAGCCTTTGTATATGCATGATCTACGTTACTGCGTTCTTTGTAATTCCTGTGATAACGGAGCGTGAAACAAGATCGAAGCTTTTGCAATATATGTCCGGAGCAGACGTTGTTTTATACTGGGTCTCGCATCTACTATGGGATTATGGAATTTTCGTACTGGCTGTCATCCAAGCTTTTATTATTATTGCTTTTTACCAAGTGCCGGGCTTCTCTACCCTTGAGGAAATAAGCCGGTACCTGTGTTGACTTGGTATAGAAATTTATAGCTCACAAATTACCCGAGTCAGTTTTAGAGGAAGAATTTCAAGGTCAACTCACTTACTTTATTTTAATTGCGAGTTCCAAGTGGTCGAAAATATTTAAGATTATCGAAAACAATCGCACAAAACTAAACATAGGGGACTACGCAATCACGCAGACGACCTTGGATGAAATATTTTTGGAACTTGACAAAACTCGCAGTAATGTCTAGAGGCAGCTACGAAAATTTTGGATAAATAGGCAATATGAATTTATATAACTCTGCATAATGATAAAATTTGAATACAATTTCCTAGACAACATTAAAAAATGTAAGTAATTTGAAAATTTGTAATTTAATTTTCAGAGATAAGACTAATTAAGTCCGACTTTGAAATTCTATGTACCTATGATAAAATAATATATAGATTTGAAAAACAGCAACAACAGCTACTACTAACACTTTAAGTTAAAAATTCCGAGAACTACGGAAGTTATGGAATCAATAATAGCGGGGTAGTGGAAGTTCATTGAAATCAAAATACTAATTGATCTGTCTAGGGCTTATGGGATACCAAGTTTGGTTATTCCAGCTCTTGTACTTGCTGAGATCCATGCGTAGATAGACGGACTGACAGGCATCGACTTGTATTGTATATATGTATATATCTATATATGTATGTAGGATGTAGGGAAAAGGCGGGAGTAGAATGCCCTACCAGAACCCTCGTTGGGGCTTGCGTTGATCACCACTCAGTCAGTCAGTCAGAATAAACTATTATGTATATATTGATATAATATAATTGTAATCATAATAATACATAACTTGATCATATGCATGCAAATACTGTGACTATATGTAAGTACTTTGGTTAGTGTTGTGTGATGAGTTTAAGGTCCAATGCGAGTGAATTATTACAGCTTGATGATCATTTGTTTACCAGACCACGAGCTTTCGGATAGGCTGATGCTGGCTTCTTAGGCTGCGCTCGTCCTGTAGGTGGACGCCGATTCGAATCAAGGGCCGAACCGGGGCTAGGCAACACGCCCCGACTGGACTTAATGTTACGCACAAGGGGGGCGGCAACGCCAATGCCGGTGCCGCTCATAGCAGTTGCTGCAGTACCAACAGCAGACACGGCTGCTGCATTAGCATTAGCATTGATGATGTTTTCGAGACGATTGCGAAGTGAGTTCGTATGCGAATCTACGATATCGATATCATCACCAGTATGCATGGCCTGCGCCAAGACAGCCTGTAGTGAGGCGGACACTTTGGGTGAACGATATTCCTGTGTGGTGCGGCATGGCATTTCCAATTCGTAGCTTACAATGTTTTCGCTCTTAAATCGCAATGCGCTCGGCCCATTCGATTTGGCCTCCTGAAGCGCATATTCCGAGGTCGGTCGACGTCGCTGTGGATGCGATACTGGACGTTTGTTGCTAAACTTGCCATCGCTGGACAATGGTAAAGATGAAAATTTCCATTCTTCTTGCTCTTCATCATATTTGGCCTGAGTGTAAAGTCGTTGCTTAACCGAAATAGGCACAAAATTATCAATAATAAGAAGCTGGCGCTTAAGCTCCTTGATAAGCTCATTCTGGGCCATTTCTAATTCCCGTAGGTCCTGATTATGATCGTGTTTGCAATCATTGAGTTCCTGCTGCAATGATAGATACTTCGACCAGCATTTTGACAGCTTGCGCTTCATTAATTCAACTGTGCCGGCGAGCGAGGTAACAGTTTCGCGTATTTCAAGTGTGGTTTCCTCCTGAAGTTCGAGTTGTTGCTGAATCTCGATTTCACGTTTTTTTCGCTCCGCAATTTCCACCAATTTTTTCTCCAATTCAATTTGTCTTTCGCTATATGTATCCAGCAAGTTTTTTCCACCTCGAACCAATTGACTCTCCAATTCGGCTAGTTTTGCCGCCAGTTTTGCGTTCTCTACTCGTTCGCGCTCTAGTTCCTCATTGGACTTGGCTACCTCAGCTTCATTTTCCTTATCCGACTCTTCCTCTGGTTCACTTTCCTCTTGTGTGAGTTCCCTTTGCACAGGTAAGTGTGCATCGCTGTCGGCAATCTCACGATTCGTTAACTCCTTTTTGGGCTTCTTTGTGCGTTTCTTTGCCGCCGCTAGTTTTTCGTTTCGCTGTTGCTGCTGCGGTGCAATAAGTCGTTTTAAGCGTTCGATTTCTTCTTGATATTCCTTTAGTTTGGCATCCTGCGGATCCTCGTTCTTTATAGGCTGATTCTGTATGGACTTGGCCCGTGAGGCATAACGCAAGGTCGTCAGCGTTTCGTTGTAGTTGTATGCTGAAGGTCCAATATTTGCAATCATAATGGTCTTGGAATTTCCACCCAAAGAGTCCTGCAGCAAGCGCGTCAATTTTGAATCACGATATGGGACATGCGGCGAGTTCTCAGCCAAGGCCGAAATGACGTTGCCCAAGGACGAGAGCGCCAAGTTGATTTTGCTAGCCTCCTTTAGGCGCTCAGCTGAAGCGCCAGTTTTCGACTGCCGCTCACTGCCCGCAAGATCAATAAGATTCAATTTTCCGACTTTGATAGTATTTGTCTCCGTATCGCACATCTCGATTTTTATCATGAAAATCGCATGCGAACTACAATAAATAAACAGCTTATGTTTATAGCCCCCTATTCAATTAATTATATTTTTACTTACCGAGAACTGTGCTCATTCATGTTGGTGAAACCGACCGTACGATTTTTGTTTCCTATCTGCATTACGTGCACCATATCGTCAACACTCTTGCAGTTAATCGCATGCAAATTTGGTACATATACACCCGATCCACGTTCACGCACCTCGAGATGTTTCGAATTGGGCTTTAGTAGATCTCGCAATTCCTCCATGTAGATCTCCAAATAGGAAACGTCTACCAGAAATTGAAAGTTCTCGGTCCGATTGATGTGCAACCAAATTTGTTCAAATGTACGCGGTATAATGCCCATTAGATCCTCATTTCCTCGAGCACCTTCCATGGTAAAGGTTTTGCCGGTTCCAGTCTGCCCATACGCAAATATGCAGCCGTTGAACCCCTCCAGCACAGAACTGACCAAAGGAAAGACCACTTCATGGTAAAGCATCGTCTGCGACGCGCTGGCATCGTAAGCAGCATCGTACGTGAACACCTTGCGCTGCTCCTTGTTTGCATCAACCAGATTCTGTAGCTCAACAACGCCGCGATTAGGATAAACATTTACGACCTCGGGTGAACCTTCGGTGCGCTCGCGATTGCTCATTGGCCGACATCTCACCACCACCTGCACACATTCATTCAGCGTCTGGCTGGTGCCAGTGCCAGGGCGTTTGCTTTTCGCACTCATCCCGCAGCTGTGTGTGACTAAAGCAGCCTTAACACCCCTGCGCCGCCCTGCCTATGTGTTGTTGTTTTGTTCCAATTGGGCCGTTATATTATGTAGCTGTAGTTACGAAAAAAAAAATCAATAAAAAGTTTCTTTTCACTACTTTTGTGCTATTGCAACGCACCAAAATAGTTTTACTATTTTGTACACACATTTTAAAGTTTCGCCATAACTTTACCTTCTTCAATACACTAACCTGTTTTTAAAAACCGAATTACTTCACCTTGGAATATTTTTGTCCAAGCACCAGTGCCAGAAAATATTTTGTGAAATGTAGTTCGTAAGCGAACTAAGCTACGAACTTGAATATGATTCTAGTTCATTTGGGAGCTGCCAACACGTTTTAATTCAAAGTGTTTACACATAGAGAACAGGAAAATTAATTTGTCTATTTAAATGAACGTTACTAGGCAACGGCCTGGTTTTATACACTAGTTTTTGCATTATTTTTTTTTCTCTTTTTCAAAAAATTCACAATCTCAGAATTTGTCTATTATGAACTTTAGCGTTGATGATCCACTGGCTGATCTGCTCAGCGATAATAGTTTGGACAATGACAACTTTTTTGACAATACCACTGGAAGAAAATTAAGCAAGCAAGCTGCAAAGTCAAAAGGTAAATTAGAAGATCTTTTTGGCATACAGGAGGAGACAGAAGTGGATATACAGCCGCCACCAAAAGACAAGCCCATAGCGACGAGTACGCCACGTATAGTCAAGCAAAAACCGTCAATTTCCCAAGATGATGTCGGCGATGACGACGATTTAGGCTTTGATCCCAAGCGTCCCAAAAGTGGTGTGAAGAAAAGCTTATTCGTTGATTTACTGAGTGTAGGCGAGGCAAAGAAAAATGTTTTCGACGATATACTAAGTGGGGGCGATAGTGCGAAACGCCCGGCGACTTCAGCGGTTTCGACAGTAAAGCCCTCAATGTCACGCCAGTCAACAGATACCACCACAGATAATTCTAATGTGTACACTCAAGCGCGCCCCAAAACCGCAACAGGACGCCGTAGTTCGGCACAGTCGACTAATGCGTTCATTAACACGGATCCTTTGGGTCTGTTTGGTCGCGACAAGGAAACCAGTGCCAACGCGTCTGGCATGTCTACGCCTGTGTCCAAAAAGCGTTCCAACCCAGCTGACTGGCTTGGCCTAGGAGTGGAGAATGCCACGACTGTAGAATCTGGAGCTGTGGCTGAGCCGGAGCGCCCGGCAACGCCACGTTCTCCACAACATGGAAAGGAGGCATTGGTCGTAAAGAACGCCATCAATATTCTTCGCCTCGCAGAATCTGACGATACCGAAATAGACATAGAAACACCCGCACAGGAATTGCCGATGAAGATGCCAACAGTTGCTGCGGACCCGACAGCTCAAAACATTCTACTTCTAAACAGTATAAACCTGGAAAGTAACAACACCTTCACCGCACTGCAGCAGCAAGAATCTCAATTAATTATTGCTTCTCAAATGAAGGCTCAGGAGTCTGCTTTGCTTGAGATGCAGCGCAAACAGGACATTTTGCTGCAACAGCAAAATCAGAAATTTCAAACTCTCATTCAGCAGCAATTGCAACGCCAACAGCAAATGGAGGATCACATCAAAATGCAACAGCAACGAATTAATACACATATTCAGCTAATGATGACACAATCGGCTATGGTGGCGCGTGGTCCTATTCCGCCACCAATGACAGGTGCAGCTACTGACACCGATGCCGCTACGGCCGCTAATATCCCGATTACAGACAAGACGACCCAAGCAGCCGGAGAACCAATGCCATCAGCAGATGATCAATTGCTTAAATTGGAGAATGACGTCAAGCGCAACGAACTTGAAAAGCTGCGGCTGGAGGAGCTGGTGGCGAACATGAAAGTAAACTATGAACAGGAAATTCAGATGATCGAAAACTCGTACAAGTAAGTGAACCGTTAAAAGGCGTTATATACTCGAAAATGCTTAGCTTAAGATTCATACTATATTCGTAATCAACCAATTTGTTACTAATTTATAGTAACTTTCTATTATTATTACCTATTTTCTTTCCTGCCAACACTATAAAATAAATAACAGATATAAGCTTCCCGTTAAACTGATAAGTGATTATTGAGTGAGGGGTAGGCGGCGGGCAAAAGAAATAAGGTCTCACAATTGGCCACGACATAATACTTATATTAATACATATGAATCTCTTAGTTGTTCTATTACTATTGCTGTACCCTTAAAGGTTTCTGGAACCTTAATTACAAGTATTTATAAGGATTTCTTGCTATTTATTTATTTTTTTTTTGTAGAAAACAACTCCAAGTACTTAGCGAGCATATGGCAGCGGTTGAGGAACGCCTGAAAGCAGAAAATACAGAGCTAAAGGAATTCTATGTGGAAAAACTTCAGAGCTTAGAGCAGGCTTTGCAAAAATTGAAAAATGACTACGAAGGAGAGTTGTCCACCCTGCGACAGGATCACGAGGACGAGGTACGTAAGCTGCGTAAATCTCATGAGGTGGATATAGATATGGTAAGGCAAGAGCATCACCGAATGCTGGACACAATCAGGCAGTCGAAAATGCTTGAATTTGCGACTATGCAGGAGAGTGGAAGCTACTTGGAAACCTTGCAGCTGGCCTCAAATAATTTGGTCACGCTGAGTGATGGATTGCAGGGACTTCGTGATGATATGAGTTGTAAATTGGAAACATTGAACAAGGAACGAGAACGCAAGCTTAATGCGCGCGAACGTCTGCTTGATGACAAAGAACGCCGCTTAAAAATTGACGAGGAGGCAGCGGAGGGAGAGAAGCGTCGTCTTATGGAACTGGTGGGCACGCTAGAATTACAATTGGGTCGATTGTCCAAGGAGTCGGCTGAGGAGAACTGGCAGTTGCGTCAGCGAATGTGCAGCTTGGAGGCGGAAAAAAATGCTTTCGAGCGCGAGAAAGAGTTCCACCGTGAACAGTTAGAACGCGATGAGAAGAGAGTGGAGGAACTCAAGACTCTTCAACTGGCCGAAACAGAGCGCATGAAACTCGATTTACAGCAGGAGCGCACACGCCTTGTGATCGAACGCACACAGATTGAAATGGAGCGTAAATTGCAATCGCAGGGAGGCCTAGACAAGGATCGGTTAGAGGTAGAGGCGCAACTGAAGGTGGCAGAAGATGCTATCAGACAAGCGGATGAGGAGCGACAGCGCTGTCACAAGCAACAACGCGATCTAGAGCAACGCAAACGCCTCCTGTTGAACAAGGAGAACGCGTTAAATTTGAAAGAGGACGAGCTGGCTCAGGCATCAAGTGCCTATCGCATGGCTACGGGACGAATGCAAGCGGCCGAACACAAGGCTCGCGAGTCGGAACAATTTCTGGAAGCCAAACTACAACAGCTGGCCAAGCGCACCGCCGATCTTGGTGAGAAGGAGGCACAATTGTCACAGGAACGTATGCTCTTGGCTAAAGATCGCATCGCTTTGCACAATATGAAGCAGCAAATAGCACAAAGCAAGTGCAGCCTGTGTAAGATGGGAGCTAATAGTGCCGAATTGGCGCTGAACACTGTTTATCAAACGAATGGCAACACAACAAGGGATCCACCCGCTCTTCATCAAAATAGCCAGGAAAACGTTACAGCTCGTATTATGACCTCAAATCAGTTGCCTGCTGCTTTGATTGAGAGAAATATTGTGGACCGAATGCTAGATGAGAACATCGAGGCATCATATCGTCGAATGTACAATGTGCCGACAACCACAGACATGGACTATTGGACCACTGCTGGTCTAGATGATGATTCAAAGAAGCTAGCCATGGGTAATAACAATCTTTAGGAATTGATTTTTCATTGTCCGTTTAAAATACAACTATAGCTTGATGAAGTCTTTAGAAAATGAAATAATCAAACCATGAACTTTTGTAAATTATATAATACTCTGTACTTTGAATATTCGGTTACATTACTAAATAATTATTACTATTTACACAAAAATGGAGCATACGAATACATACATGCGTAAGTAAAAAATATTTCAATAAATACATTAATCTGATGGATAGCTTAAACTAAACTCGAAACGTTATTGTACAAACCCACGGTCGGCATTTCATCCAGATCAGGTTCATTGTTTAGCCCGCCTTCCGGTGGTAGCCGTTTTCGAAAAATTGCGGGGCCCACTGAATTCGGGAGCTGGGAGCTGGGAGATCTAAGTGGCTGGTTTAGTATATGCGCGTTTTGGCTTGCATACTCCCTTGGCATAGATACATTTAAATTTTGTGGCGTTTGTGCAGAGTCAATTGGGCTACCCATTGGGTATCTTTGAGAAAAGTTGGGATAGTAAGTATCCATAGTTGGGCAGAGTTCGGTGCTTGGTAAACAGCCGGGTTGAATGTTTTGGGAATGACGTTGTACGGTTTTCGGACGATTGGGAAGTTCATGGAAATAGGCATCTTTTGGTATATGCCTTTCTACATACAAATCAGTTTGGAATGAAGTATTGGGAGGTTGAACTGAACCTTTTTCATTAATGTTAGGGTAATTATTTAATTGCGGCCGCATGCCACTAAAGTTAGAAAATAAGGGATTGTTACTAGAACTTACAGGATTCTTTTCACTTGGTGCAATATTGTTGTTTTGATGATCTTGGGGTACATTAGAATCAATTTTAATTTGCAATTGTGCCACCATATCTTTAACTTGTCCAGCATTTGATTTCTTTAGGCATTTAATCTCACTGTTCTTGATTTCAACTTTTTCCACACTTTCATTTGGGTTGGGTGCCATTTCTAAACCCTCCGTGTATTCTAAGTTATCCTCTTGACTGATCAAAGGATTTGTATAAAACATACTCGAAATTGGTACAAACCCCTCTTGAACACGGAGCGGTCTCCTTTTTAAAAGCTGTGGATTCGTAGATAACGGCGGATGAAAACTAACATCAGTGACCGATGATTCGTGACCTCGTTCCTTGTACATAAGCTTATCTCCAGTAGTTTTGTCTGCATTTTCGTTGTGCTGGATTTCATCCTTATTCAAATCTAAAAATGTAGCGTCTTTTCTGAGGGCTTTAATAACAGATTGAAACATGTTCTCGCTTCTACCAATTCTGTGATAATACTGTCCTTCAGTTGGCGATATTTCACACTCCCAACTATTAGAGTTCTGAGACGTTTCACTGGAGTTGGGGTAACGTCGCTCCATATGAGAATAAGCGTCGAAATTTCGATTGTCGGGACTATCTTTGTCTTGGCGCATTGCGAATTGATTTTCTCTACTATATATTTGACCAGATGAAGAACTTTGCTGCGGCTTATAGTCTGGCGACATAGATGAAAGATGGCGTTTACTTTCTTGCTCGCTATCTCTCTCCATAATCAAAGTGGTCTTTTCCAGCAAATCACCCAGTCGTTCGGAAACTTTAAGAAAGTCCAATTTGAGCTCGTCTAATTTGATGTGTTGTAGTTCTCTGTGAGCTGCTTGGCCTTGAGAATTGAAAGCATTAGCTACGGCAGAATCATCATCTGTATCGCTTTCTCCCTCTTCTTCATTTGGATGGTGAACGATGGCTTGAATTGCTTGATCTTCTAATAGGTCCACACTCCTAGAATTTGTTAATTTGCTATCTTGAATCGTATTATCCAGTAACTCCAAGCTTCGACATCTTGATAAAGTGCGCTCGACCTTCGGACATTTGCTTTGATTATCGAATGTTGAACGGAATGGTTCGCCTCTTCGTAGAAATTCGTTTAAATACTGACGCTTGTTTTCGCAACGAATTCGGTCTGCGATCATTGTGCGAGTTAGTTGCTCTATTTGGTCATTCGTTTTGATTGCTAGAGCTTGAACTTTATGGCCAAGTCTCTCCTTCGTCTTATTTACGTACTTCTTCAAACTTTTTCGGTTACAGTTCAACTTGTTCTCTATATGTCGGAAGAATGGACCACAGTAACAGGTGTTTACAACACTCAATGGACCTATGGACAAATATAAATAAAAAAGTTGTTCAAAAGCGCTCAATTCTCGGGAGAAAAGTTCAAGTTACCTTTATGAATGTTTCCAGCGAGGTCTAGGAAATACTGCTCCCCCGGCTTAAGTGGGTCCTTCGGCAACGTTTCCAGCTTTGGTGAAGGGAACGCTCGTGGATCTGGGAAATAGTGGCATCCATAAGGAGACCAATTGATTACTTTAGCAGGATTATCTTGAGCTGATCTACGTTGAGGACTACTGCTGGGCTTTGCCTTTTCTCGTCGATTTCTTATGCGCTTTGGTGTGTTAAGTATTTCAAGAATATCGCGGTAGTTCTTTCTTAATGCAATATTTTGGGGTGTTTCACCCTGCGCATTCTTTATATCTAAACGAGCATCTGATTCCAACAAGATACGTGTTAATTTCCTTCTCCCCATAGCACTTGTAATATGAAGTGCAGTGTCTCCATTAAGATTGGTCTTATTGGGGTCAATAGATGCCGATAACAGAATCCGTGTGGCACCAGCGTGACCATAGCGGCACGCAGTATGCAAAGGTGTGTCTCCGTACTAAGCCGGAAATTTAATATAATTAGAATGTAAATCATCCTGATCAAAAGGTAATATTTCCTCTACTTACATTGTTTTGAACATCAGGATCAGCACCAGCAATTAATAGCTCTCTAGTACTCTGATTGTGCCCATTCTGAACGGCCAGGTGCAGGGCAGATAACCCTTCATTGTTAATAATACCAAGCGTACTGTTATGTAGGGCTTCTATTGTATTTGCAACTCGCGCCTTTAATCTATTCTTTTCCTTGTGTTGTGATTTAGATGGTGGAGGAGTGCAGATCAGCTTCACGCAACGACTGAAGCCCCGCATCGCCGCTTCGTGTAATGGTGTGTTGCCATTGTTGGACTCTTTGGCCATACGATCAACGTTGCTTGATAACAGAACTTCCACGCGCTTGTCGTCGCCCGCCGCTACAGCTTCGTGCAATGCGGTCCAATTTTTGGATTCATGCTGTAGTAAAAATACATATGCATACATATAATTTTTCGCATACATTTTTAAAAATATTTTTCATACCCCAAATATTGCATTCGGAAGCGCTTCCTGTTTTGGCATTCGGGAAGAACCATGCTGCATTGTCTATAAACAAAGTTGTTTTTACTTAATTTCAATACTCACGGCATAACATTGTGTACAAAGGTATGTACAAATACATTATATATACATATATAAATATATATATACATACATACATATATATATAATAAATATACATACATAAATACTTATATTTCTGTTATCAAAAGAATCTTGTTATCCTCGAAAATGTAATTATCAGCCTGTCAAAGTTTTCTTTAAATTTTATTATACAATTGGCTCAACTTGTAGTGTATACATTTTATATTTAACGAAAAAAGGTACATAACGTAGTTCATTCACTGTAACTATTAAAAACTCGCTTTCAATAGTTTACATTAAAAGTCACATTTGAAAGTAATCGCCGTTAATTAAGTACTTTATTTGGTTTATCTCTTTGCACAAACTGCTTTTCTACAATAATTAAATATGCAACTTTAATAATAATCCAATATTTTGCTTACGTCTTGTGAACGCCCAGAAGTTAATTTGCCTTTAAGCCAGGCCTAAAAAGAAAATGATGAGGAAGACGACGAAGACAGAAAGAGATAGCCAGACTGCGCAAAATGGGCAACAGGTTTCATTCACGACTTACAGCGACTGTGGGGCAACGCGGAAAATGTCTGTTATCTGTAATCGAATACCTGTTTCAAATAGTTATTGTTAACATTGTCCGAATGTGGTCTTTCTTTTTTTCTGTGGATGGTGCGACCCAATCCTTTTAGCAGATTTTTAACAAATGCTAGGAGCTGTGATTGCAATTCTTTAAAATTGAAATTTTCCGTTCTTTATAGATAAATGCCATTGATGTAAGATAGATTCTGCTGAAAATGTTGTTAAAAGAGAAAATAATATAATTTCCGCACACACTATTATAAAAATATAAAATAAATTAAGACATATTTAATTTGTTTAATTACATTAATTAACACTGAACAAACCAAAAGTATATTTTAACATGCGGTACATTGCTACAAAAAAGTAATGCTTTTTAAAAAGTCGACAGTTTTAAAATATGTAGTGCTTACATACTAATAAATTCGGCGATTTTTACAGTGTGTCCACATACAAAAATGAAATATATCAAAGTTTTCTGCTTGTTGCATTCCATTTTAGACCCTTTCGTGGCGTTTGTTATTATTCGCGTCTAACGATACCGTGCGGTGTAAGATACAATAATTTAATTGTAAATATGCTCTTTATCTTCGCTAAATCTGCTGCAAACAAAACATCGGCATAGTATTGCAATGTTTTTAACCGCTGCCAAGTATTTGTGTATCACACTTCCGTTTGCATAAATCTCAATGAATGTACATATATATGTGTACTACATATGAGCGTGCATGTGTGTTTTAAGAGTGCTGTGAAATAATAAAGTTATTGTTTGTTTAAAGAAAACAAAACGTAAATAGGAAAGGTTGAGTTATAAGACAATAGAACCATTGGATATACAACGAAAACTTGAAAGGTGGAGGCGACTACTCTTGAACGAAAGTAAGTGACATCAAAGAAGCGCAGCCATACAATAATGTAAATTGTTGTATACATATGTACATGCTTTTGAATATACATATGAACATATGTATACATATGTACGTATAAATGGGTACGTATGTATGTAGAGAAGTGGCAAAAATTTTTATCGTGACGGGCTTGTGGGTGCATTACCCATTTCAAACATTTTATCATATTCTTTTTGCCGTTTTTCGCCCCCGCCTTTGCTTTGTCGGCCTTTGTTGTGGCCGGTCTGCTTATACACACATGTATAAATCTTTCTGCATAAATATACATATATACAAGTGAACAATATACATATGTACATATCATTGTACAATTTTCGGTCTAATTGCTTTCCATTATCCGCCACCAGTAAACTTTGTTCGTACTCCCTTACATACATACACATACTTATACGATACAAAAATTTATTATTGTGCATTCGTGATCAATGATTAAATATTTGTGGCCATTCTGGAGAAATACTTCTTAGATAATGCATTATTCCCAATAGATTTTTCTGTTATAGAAAGACATGTGTGCTGCGAGTAAACATTCATTTTGAACAGCTGTTCGGGAAATTCGTTTTCGCGCCAGCTGCTCCCAGAATGAACTAATTTAAAGTATGAAAAACTTAGATACATATATGCATGTGTGTATGTTTCAAAAACTTTTAATATACATATATAAACAACGCAAATATTGCGATACAAACGGAAAATATATTTTTGAAATAAATAAATTAATGGATAATGAGATAGCATGCTGATCAGAAATTAGTCTAAATTAGTCCGTTTATGATGAATATGAAATCTATTCTCTGAGCCTCTTGCTTTTATCATCCCAAAGAAATATGCATGTATTGTAATTTACTGGGTTTTGAATGATTTGGATATAAAAACACCTGCACAGTCATACACAACGACAGGTAACACTACAAAATCGTGTTTATCATGGCTTTCGGTTATCGCCCAACAGCAAGGCAGATAACAGTTCCAAAGCACAAACTCTATCAGCAAGTTAAATAAAAAGCAAAAACTTGGACATTTTCACATTTTCAAATTTGTTTATTTCAGCTGAACGAGACCAGAAACCTCCAACCTTTTTGCAAATATAATGTCAAATCAGGCCGAAATAGATTATGACAAACAATTTCAAGAGGACTTGGCCAAAGCCACGGCACTGAGCTTGGAGCAGCAGGCACTTGACGACTACAGACGCCACAAGAAGTATGGCACTACTTATCACTATGAGCGCCCCACCTCGACCGGCAGCGGTGGATCATCTCGGGAGTACTACGCGTCATTGCGTGCTCAGCACCTTGCACGCGAAAACTCGCTTGAAGCGGCACGACCCAGTCATATACAACGCCGCCACTCGGAGGCGCATCCGTCAAATGTGACACCTAGTGTTGAACGGTCGCATACACCGCCAACTCAAACTGCTTCAGAAAATGATTTGATTTGCTTTGCGAGTCCAACGAGCAAGCAGGCTGACGGCACCAATACGTTTGAGAAGCTCATCGAGGATTTGCAGAAGATTCAAACAACGAGTACACAGTCGGCGCTTGTGCCAGTAGGACCTGTAGCTGCGGCGGCGCCCGTTCACTACGCACCTGTGAGCTATCATCAGCCGTACGGTGCTGCGACTCCGCAGTATGTCGGCGGTATGCAAATGGTGCCTTATCAGCCACCAACACAACAGCGGCAGACGCCTCTCACTAACGAAGAGTTGCAGAAACTTTACAGTTTGCCAAATCAATTGGTCCCAGCCCAGCCGCATATTGGATTCGTTCCTCCCAGCGGTTTTGCATACTACCCGTCAGCGGCAACTCCTTATTCACCACAAATTGTGGCAGGATCGGCTGCATTTCTACCACCTCAATATCCGGCGCAAGGATTTGGATTTACCCATTTATCGCAGCGATTCCCAACTTATACAGCAAATAGAAGCAGCCCTACTCACGTCGATTTCGCGCGACCGAATGTTTCAGCAGCTAGCAGCCAATCAGCGTCTAACCCATCTACTTCACATTCCAACGAGACGATGCCAACGGGTGTAGCTACTCGACAGATGTCGCCATCGAGCAGTAACGGACGTCTGTCTGCACAGCGCACAGGCAATGATTTGATTGACTTGAACCAGAATGATGAGTACGTGTTTATCAGTAGGTGTTAATCTTATCCTCTTTTATATTTGAATCTTTCAGCTCGCGTGTGAGTGTATTGGAGGCTTTCGATCCATTGCTCAACGAGAATTCAGGCAAGTCTTAATTGGTATTTTCGTTAACAATACTGCTGTTGTGTACTATTTTATCTAAAACCATTATAAGACATTGCGTCTTTCAACATAATAATAAATTCACAAACTAATTGTACAAAGATAGGCGTAAGTATTGCAACGACCCTATAAGGAACAATACCAGAGATGGTGGTGGAGAGAATTTATGAACAATAACTTTAATATTTTGTATATTAATCTGGCGTTATATGTATAATATGTATACTTATTAATAAGAGCGGAAGGCAACAATTTATAGTAGGTTTTTCTAAATGTATATAAAACACAAAGAGAATTATCATGGTCATGGTCCATATAAACGGAGAACATTTATACTTTCAATAGCTAGCTTTATATGGTATATGTCCAAACGCTACTTTCTATAAGTAGTTACGACAATAAGATGTTATTTATAAAGCAGGTATTATACCAATTAATGTAGCTGAAATGGCTTGGGTTGGAATATAATAGTATATCTATTAGTGAATGAATGTTTGAATAAGTGTAGTGAAGCAAATTGTCGAGATTAATTATAGATTTTGTAAGTTTGCCTTAACGGTGCATTATATAAAGACAATATACCTGCAGTTAAAAGTCAATACTAATGAGGCTTATTTTTTTATTGTCGCTGAGAAGAATTTAAAAAAATATGTATTGAAAACACAAAAATAGATCGGTGTTTTAGTTCTCATTTCACATTTAACAACTAAATAATTGAAATCGTTTCTTAAAAATGAAGTAAAACATCATAAAAGTGCTTGTCGCTGCATTTGTATTTAAAATCTTGACTTCAATGTGCAGCATCTTGGAGTGCTCATTCAAAATTCGAAGAACTTGTAGGAAACGCACGATGTTTTTTCCTCCATGTAGGATTTTCTTCGGAGTGTTCACTGAATACTACTTTTAAAACTATGCAAAATCGCTAGAAATTGTTTGTAGTTGCAATTAAAACTGAATTTGTTTTTGTTTTCTATCTTGCAGTGTCGCAAAAGTAAAACATTTAAACTGCAAACCTTCTACTACTACCACTATGTACTACCAATACTGCAACTACTTTACACCACACCAACCTAGTCAGCCACCACTTTTAACACACGTCATCAACTAATGGCATAAGGGCTCAAACTTTGATTTGGTTCGGAGACGCGCAGAAGTCGTAATAAAGCTGAGCTACTTTTATTTGCTCAATCTATTGAAAACACAAAACGTACCCCCTCACATACAATAGAGTCCAAATAATATGCCTTGTTCCAAATTGATTTTGTCGTCGCCAAAATGGCAACAAAGAGAGAAAGCATGATCTTAAGATTATCAAACATCTATGAGAAAATTGAAATAGTATACACTTTGATTTTTCGAAATTTTGCAAATTTTGCGTAAATTGTCAGCAAAATCTATTTATTAAAATTCCAGTTTGAAATAATTCTCAATTTTTTAATTTCTGAAAACACATAGAATGTGAATTAAATAAACTCGAAGCCTTAAAATAGTATTTAAAAACAAGAACGGAAGAAGTGTGCGAGCCAGACTTTAAAAACCTTGTAACCACCTGAAAAAAAAAATTAATTTATAAATTAATAATGTTTAAAATTAAATACAACTTATTAAACCAAGAATATGTAACACCTCCGTACACTCTCTTGCATTAATTTAAATCGGGTTTCTGTATTGTGTGTGCAATGCTAAGTAAAAGCAGCGGCGAGAACACTAACTGCGGCCAGGGTTATATGTATGGCTATAATTCCTCTAGAGCTGACCTATTATGTCTGGCCTATTTGCCAAATAAAGGTACTAAATTCCAAGGGAGCTATGAAAAACCGCTAATAGCGGGACGCTTCTTGATATACTGGTCAAGAATACTCTACTTTGTGGGGTCTGCCACGTCGCCTTATGTCTGTTACACGAATTCGCACCAAACTAGGCTCGTAAAAGGAGAATTCAACAATCTTTTATAATTAAAAAAAAATTGTGATTTCCTCTAAGAAAAACCTATCTGAAACAAAGGTGTAAAATACGGATGAGACCAATAATAAATTATTAATGAAAAATTGCCAATTTTTTGTTGTTTTATTAAACATTTAACGATTGGCATATGCGCACACATTGTCCCTAAGCCCAATATAATATGTTACGTTAATCAATTTCTTTTCTTGCTATGCTGCTGTTCTGATTCATCTTATCATGCTAATGGTTATGAACGTATTATGTGGAGTCTGCCACGCCTACTTTTAGGCATTCCAAAAATCAATAATCACAGTTTACAATTTTCAAGTATATAACAATCGGATGAAATAGCATCCACATGTCAAAAAGCTATATGATTATGATATAAGTCTAAACTGAACAAAACTCAATCAAATTAAAATGAAATAATTCAGTAGTTCGCCTATTTAATATATCTAATTATCGAATTATATTAATATGGAGTATTACCAAGCATTATCATTCCAAATGCTTCACTCTTTATCGGCTGGTTGGTGGAGGTGAGGTCTTCAGTATGGGACATTTTAATTAAATTTCTAGTCAATTATGCACCACCTGAATTAACTCTTTGACTTCATCATACTGTAATTTCTTTACGAAACAATTGGTATTTTACCTTTTCTAGCTCTTATGTCATTTCATTTAATCATTATCGTTTTTCTGTGAAATGTATAGAATTTTATGCGAAGTAACAATTTGTTGTGAGTATGGCAATTATGAATGTGATTTGTTTACATATGTATGTATTCTGTATATATGTACTGATCAGGTTGAGAGAGCGCGTTTGACGTTAATTTCTTACCGTGGAGATTGTGGGCGTTTGACGACGATGGCAAGGGCAAAGACAATTGGCGATTAGCGATTAGCGGCATCACCACGCGGAGATTTGTTAGCCAAGTATTGCTAGGTGTTCTCTTCTTGATATTTTCCTCTGTGTTTAATTAAAAATCGGGCGAGCTTCTCCGTGTTCTAAATGTAATTGCCAACGCGTTGTCGCCGTCATTCGAGTGCCGCTCAGCGCCGTTTGTTTGGGGTGACTTTATTTTTGGCGTAGACATCACAACGTATCAAGAATACGTATATGTATATACTCAATTATATATACTTATGTAGTGTGGCACGAGTCGAGGCAAAATATTTTGCATAACTGCGTGCGATATTATTGTGGAATTTGTTGCGGGCGCAAAAACAAAACCCATCACTAATTATGCATCCGCTACTTGCAGCCAACGACTGCGCCTCGGACAGCACATCCTACTATGCTGAATACGATCCATTCGACTTTCTGTACAGCGATGGTGGCACACAGTATTCGGATCCCATGTACGAAGCAGTCAACAGATGGGACAAATCATCCGGTAGTCCCAATGCCAGTGCTATTGGGTGGCGTCAAGATTACTTTGCCCTGCCGGTGGACGAGCCAAAGGTTGACTGTGCGAGCACAACACCTTCGGGCTCTGCTTCACCGCCACCGCCGTTGCCGCCTCGAAATCAGCACCAGTATGAAGCAGAGGTGCCTGTGGGCAGCAACGCCCAGCAAATATCGACGACAGCGCCCTTTACAAATAGCTACACCTCATCGATACCACCAAGTGTAGTTCTGGATCGACGAAAAACGTGCACAAGACTCTACGAACTGATCAGTGAGCAGCGCACCGATGACCCCGAGCTGCTAGAGTTTTATCATATGGTCCGGGAAGTGCGAGCCCACTACCTGTTTGATGATTTAGACACAAATACCGGACATGTGATAGCTGCAGAATTTAATTACCACTACATGCTGGACACCAGCATCAAGATAATTGTGCATCCAGCTCTAAATGCTCTTCAACCGCATGCAGCACGCGATTCGGCTGCCGGTGAACAGTTCAAAGGCTACGGCACGCCGGTCACTTTTACCTGCGACAGTGAGTACAAAATATAAGAAAATTATAACAGTGGAATTAAAAACGATTTTCTGTACAGTTGACTCCGTGGTATCGCAAGTGATAGCGCAGGCTCTGGCATCGCTGGAAGGTCAGGTCAGGGGCACAGTAACGGATTATGTGGTCAAGGTAAGTCGGCGAAATCTATTAAATAACCATTTTATATAATCTCTATCAAATTTGCACAGCCAATTGGGTTAATGGAGTGGTTGGCGCCCACCTCGAAACTTAGTCAGTTGGAGTGTGTACATAATAGTTTCCAACTTGAGAAAGATGTCCATTTGGGCTTATGTTTACGCAGCGTGGACAACATGCAGGCGATAGCACGTACGGCCCGCGATGATGAGCAGGACATTGCCCTGCAACCGGAGCGCATACTGCCCAATGAAGTAGTGCCCATTGTCACTTACGACAACATGATGATACTCATTGAGACGCTAGAGACAGAGATCGATAAGTTGGAGTCTGCAGTAGACGCGAGTAGCACGCGCAGCGTTGTCTCCTGCTCAGGAGTAGTGCAGGCTGTCAAAGCCATTTGTGCGCTTTTGGGATCAATTGATACGCTCGAACTTGCGAGTTGTATTGCGGACTTAAAGCGCATCTGTGATGAGGCCCAGAGCAAATACGCGCCGCTAGCGGGTGCCAATAATCCAGAGATCGTCAGTGATTATGGTGACTACGCCGAGGTGAAACTACGACCACGGTCTATGCTTGAACAGATTAAGCTGAAGTGCAACAATCTACGAGACGCTGTGCAGGAGCTGATCGAGCTCTATGCCAACGTTTTTAGAGTTGCGTTTTCGGTGAAGACTGTAATCTATGCCACAAGTGAGTAAGAAAATAATACGTTAGTAAAAATAAGGCATCTATAATGATTAGGCATGAACAAGTTTCAGTGTAGATTTGCGCAGTTTCTTTGCATCTTGAAAATATACGAAATAATTATAGGAAATATACATATATGGGAAAGTGGTATAGAAAATTGAGGAACAATTTGTTTTAAAACAAACAGTGAAGGAGATACATTTTAATATTTTTTCCTTTGCAATTGCGTCAACTGCTCTTAAATGACTGCTTAACTTCTACTTCACCAGCACCAATTCCAATATCATGTGTATCGAAACCCATTGTGGTTAGCATAAACTGCTTACACAGACCGCCTCCAAATTGGAAATACGAGGACTACTCGCTGTGCGTGCAGATCGTTTACGGCACGCGTCTCATTTCACAGCCCAATGTGTTGAGATGTTCAAACGATACAAGTGGAGGACTGTTTCCGCGTCTTAACTTCAGTGCTTGGCTCACCTTCGAGAAACATCCGATATGCACTTTACCGCGGGAAGCACGTATTACCTTTGTGCTGTATGGCAAGCAGGCAGCTAATGAAACTGACACCAGTGCGGAACCCAATGGGGAGCGTCGACAGGTGACTACTGAGTTGGGCTGGTGCTCAATACAGCTATTCGACTTTAAGCGCGAGATGATCTGCGGTCCGTATCTGTTGTCAGTGTGGCCTCCAACCCAGGATAAATTTCTTGGTCCGGCCCCAGCACGCGGCTGTCATCCACATCCCGACTATTGTCCAGTGCTGAGCATTGAAGTTCCGCATTATGGTGGTCGTATCCAATTTCCAGATCAACTAGAGCCACCAAAGCCAGCACCACAGTAAGTTGTATCTATCTATGTATATACACGCTTCATTTTATCATATGTCTTATTTGCCTTTACAGCTATGACTTTGCTTCGCTGGACGCCAATCTACAGGAAGAACTACTGGACACTGCGGAACAGGGCTACCTTGGTCCAACCGAGCGTCGTGAGGTATTTTGGGAGAAGCGTCACTACTTGCAGAGCTACCCAAATGCATTGGCCAAAGTTTTGCATGCTGCGCACAGCTGGGACTACGCAAATCTCATCGATCTACACGCTTTGCTGCAATCATGGGCTCCGCTGTCGCCGCTACAAGCCTTGGAGCTTCTACTTCCCAGCTACCCTGATGCTAAGGTGCGGGAAAAGGCCGTTGAATGGATTTCGTACATGTCCAATGATCAGCTGGTGGATTTCTTGCCGCAGTTAGTACAATCGCTTAAGCACGACACTTACGAGGCATCGCCTTTGGCGCGATTTTTACTTGCCAAGTGTCTGGAATCTCCGCGTTTCGCACATCATATGTACTGGCTTTTGGTGCACAGTTTGCCTGACGATCCATTGAATTCAATTGGTTCGTCGGAGGTGGATCAGGAGTATGATGAGTCGCAAATAACGCAGGCGCGATATTACCGCAGGAATAAAATGATGTTGCGCGCACTTATGGCAATTTGCGGTGAGAAGATGGGAACACGTTTTATGCACCAACACCGCATGTGCCAAGTAAGCTATTAAAATGAAGAACCCAATTATAAATATTTTTTAACAATGCTCAATGTTTAGGATCTGGCACAAACAGCCGAGTGTGTGAAGGATGCCAAAGAGTCAATGCGCCAAAAGATTTTGACCACCAAGATGGATGTGGTGCATCAGGATCTAACAAATCAGCCCACATGCTTACCCCTGGGCCCTGAACTTGAGGTTACAGGGGTGAATGTCCGGAACTGCAGCTATTTTAATTCCAATACTCTGCCGCTGAAAATAAGCTTTATCGGGCCTGATGCTGAACCATTACCAGCTATATTTAAGGTCAGAGTTCATAATACCAAGCACTGTAACTTTTCAAACTCTTAGTTTATTTTTAGTGTGGCGATGATCTGCAGCAAGATATGCTAACCATACAACTAATACGCATCATGAACAAAATGTGGCTAGCCGAACGCCTCGATCTCAAGATAGTCACATTTAATTGCGTGCCCACTGGTTACAAAAGAGGCATGATAGAGCTTGTCTCTGAAGCAGAAACATTACGAAAAATCCAGGTGGAATGCGGTCTAACCGGCTCCTTCAAGGATCGGCCTATTGCCGAATGGTTGGGCAAGCAAAACCCAAGTCCGCTGGAATATCAGAGTGCAGTACGAAACTTTACGCTTTCATGTGCTGGATACAGCGTAGCTACTTATGTCCTTGGCATTTGTGATCGACACAATGACAATATTATGCTTAAAACTTCAGGTCATCTTTTCCACATTGACTTTGGAAAGTTCCTAGGCGATGCACAAATGTTTGGAAACTTTAAAAGGTAAGTGCGAATCTGATTCTTTATATTTTCGACTATTGCTGTTAATATGCCATTTTATTAAACAGAGATCGCACACCTTTTGTGCTTACCTCAGACATGGCGTATGTAATTAATGGTGGAGACAAACCCTCCACCGATTTTCATTACTTTGTGGACCTGTGCTGTCGTGCCTTTAATATTGTACGCAAGAATGCTGACTTGTTGCTTCACACGCTCGCCCACATGGCTACGGCAGGCATGCCGGGCGTTAATTTAAACGCGGTGACTTATGTAAGGCGTGCGCTACTCCCATCTCAATCTAATCCGGAGGCTGCCGCCACATTTGCCAAGATGATACAGTCGTCACTGAAGAGCTGGTTCACCCAAGTTAATTTCTTTCTGCACAACCTGGCGCAAATGCGTCACAGCAATGATGAGGGCACGGGTGAGCTGCTCTCATTTGTTCCGCGAAAATATACGTAAGTGATCAAACCGTATGATGGGCCGTTAAAATATAAACATATTTCTAAAATTTCACGTTTTTTTTTTGTTGGCAGTATGCAGCAGGATGGCCGTCTGAAGATTGTCAGTGTAGTGCGCTTCCAAAAGCACTATAATATGGAAAAGTATTACATGTATATTCTACAAGTAACGCGACACGGTCAGCCAGATCCGACGCACTTGTTTCGCTCGTACCGTGAATTCACCGAATTCCATCAAAAATTGTGTATGCATTTCCCACTGGTTAAGTTACACAGGTAAGTGGCATTGTTCGTATTCGTATTCACGAAATTCTGGAAATCTAAAACCTTCCCAAACATCAGAGCATCAGAAAAAAACAAAGATTTCTTTTTTCGGACCTGGGAGAATGTGAATACCATGCAAGCTCTTATACTATACTCTCTGAGATCCTTGTTTTCAAACAGAAGTATACCCTATACCGAAAGGGTAAATGAATCCTATTTAGAGCGAAAAAGTACTCGTTAGTTATCGTTAGTTTCTTTGGTAGTTATATTTAAAAAATGGGGCTATGCTTCAATATAAATAATCGATAAGATATAGTAGTCTACAGAGCAAGTTTTATGTCCCTTATTGCTATGTTTGACATACTTGCCGGATATGCCTATATAGATTGGCCTCGGCATGCTGATTATACGTGTGTGCTTAAAACTTGCTACGCCTCCTTTGGTCTATTACATAACTAAGACATTCTAAAATACCCTCGACTTTTTGGATACATGGTATAGAAATATATAAAATTTAGCGCCCCAAACCTAACTTATATACTTGCTTACATACATTTGATTATGCGTTACAAAAAATATTGTTCATGACGTCTACATGTTTATTTTTTATATACTATATACAGACATATATGTATACAAAGGTATGGCATTTTTATGTAACTATGAATGTGTTGTAAAATACTGACATTACTAAGTTATGTAAGAGTCGATCTGTCCAATTGCCCTAATTGCTAAGCCTAAGCCTCTGTATCAGTATGTAAGCTATGTTTCAATTTAATCGCTTGGCGTTTGGGCACAGCACCGAGCTCAGATCCTCGCTCTACTTCAAAATCACTCCTTATTTCCCGTTCTGGTACCTCTGTCATCAGACAATGCTGTTGTACAGCATGGTCGCTATTAGCTGTTCGCTCAGGTCCAAACTCATCTGTATCACTGTCAGTTTGGGACGCCTGAGATCCTATAAAAATTGACGCTTTCTTGTTTTCGGCCAAGGACTCGCTAGAATCTCCCACAGACAAGCGCAGCATCGGCGTTGGTGGTGTTACCATATAGCTATCTGGGTCGTCGGACTCACTTGAGCTTGGCAGCTCGGCAGATTGATAGTATTGTAAGTTCTCTATGTCAAAGCGAACCTTGAGGGCGCGTGCATTCCGTTTCGCAGGTCTCGGCGCTGCAATTGCCCCTATTGTCCCAATAGCTGCATTTGAATTACTTGAACCGGAGAGTCCATGATCATTGAACATACTCGTATTTCTAAGTCGAGGTGCGGGTAGTGGTGGAATGCTTGGAACTGTGATCACTTCAAGTTCCTCACAAAGTTCTTCAAAATCATGTAAGTTGGTCTCAACATTACTTTCTCCAATCTCTGCGTATAGATCGTCTATACTGCTTATATATTTGGTATTATTATTATTGCCACCCACAACATCCGCATATTTGGGCAAGGAGTAGCTCGCTTTCATGCTCTCTTCCTGCATTAAGGACTCGTAGTCTGGTAGCGCTGGCGAAGAAGAAGCATATGATGGTGGCGGTGGTCTTATTTCCCTTTGCTCACTCTCCACAGTTTGTTGCAGTGGCTCAATCAGTTCCAATTCTTCAAAGAGGTTTTCTATCTCGGGTACGTTGCCAAGAGTAAGCGTGCCGTTGTTTAAGGTTTCTACCACGTAAGGCACTTGTTCCAAAGTATTAATTGTGTTTGGATGCAACGCCCAATTCGGGTCAGGCCCTTCAACATCTTGCAAGTTCTCAAAGTTCTCCCAATCCTCATCGATGGTCTTTCCAAAACCTGGCGGACTGTGCGGTCCTGGCATTGGAGGTTGATCCAAATCTGGCTGAATGTCTAGTAAATCCGCCTCGTTCATTTCATATGAGGACCTAATACGCTGAAAATTAGTGTCGTTAATGCTGCTTAGTGCTGAAGGGATTTCCAAATGAGAAAATAAGTCCGGTTGTACAGAACTTTCCGCCGGTGTATTGGAGCTGTTGGAAAATATGTTCTCAATATACGCGGAGTCGATTTGTTCATCTTCCAAATCATCAATGTTAATTGGCAGGCTATTATGGCTTGTATCAGTATTAGGCAGTGCCGGTTCCTCTTCCTCCCTATCAGGATAAGAATTAAAATTACTATGTACTATAGCAGACACAGACACTGCTGTCGGCTCTACTTCTGGAGTGAGCGGTTCTGGCACAAGGTCATCATCAACTCGCTCGTACTTCATATAACCGCCGATATCTTTGTTAGCTCCCTGTGGAACATTAAACTCGTCAGAGGTGGTTTTTGCGGTAAAGAGTTTATATTTTTCCGCAAAGTGATCAAAGTTGGGTACGTCGAGTCCTGGCGGAGGATCAGCTTCTGGCACGGGGGGTGTTGGTGGCTTTCGAGTGGGTGGCATCGCATAGTACTCGAAACTACTGCTGTGCACCTCTCTTCGCCGGCGACGCGGGGCCTTTGGTTCCTGAATTTGGGGCTCTGACGCTACATTAGCGGTTGTCACTTCGATAAATCCATCTTGGGATAACAATTCAGTTGCCAGCCGAAGATTTGGAACGCTGCCAGCAATATATTTAACTGTGATAAAGAGATAAGTTAATTAGAACATTTATTTTAGGTCAGCGCTTTTCTGTTGATCGGGTGTTATTAGTTAGCTAGCTACTATGTTAGTTATTGTGAACTTGAAACGATCAGCCCCTCCCCAGTTCGATTATGACATTACCTGGTGGTGTGTGTGCTGATGCGTGTACACTTTCGATTTCCTCCACATTTCGTCGACGAAATATACCATGGATTGCGTTGTCGGTGCCGTTTACCTGCGTTGATTTAAAGTATTTTTAATAGAATTGGCGCCTTCTGTTTGCTGCTAAGTACATGCGCATTGCGCTCAAGTTATTACAACCCATTCCGATTTTGGTTTACGCTGACTAGCGTGAAGCGTTATGATTGGAACAGCTGTTGCTGTTGCTTCAGTTGTTTGCGCCATTCAGTAACGCTCTTAGGAAAAGCAACTGTCCGCAACAACAACGCGCTGCCTGCATGCGTCACAATTGTGAGTATGCCTAATGGCAGAAGTGCTGTGCCAAATCAGACAAGTGTGTGTACACGTACACGCAACTGCCAGTGTATTTACTTTCCCTTATCAGTTCTAGTCCCACAAGTCGTTGGTATCATTATATTAAATGTTTATATGTACATTAGTTGCAATATTAGTTCGGTGCTAATTGTAAATGAAACTTCGCCACATACCTGCAGTGATCCTCGCGTTTGACGGGAAGATGGCGGTGGCGTCAGCTGTGCTGTGGAGGGTGCTGTCTCGACACGGCTCTCAAACGTTAGCCGTCGCTTGAAGCCCCAGATCTTGATGCACAATAGAGCGAAGATCAAACCCAAAAAGATGATAGTCGAGGCGGTCAGTGGGCCTAGGGTGGCATGGAGACCTGCGGCCCGAGTTCAATGACTGAGTGATTTTACGGTCCCCTCAGGGAATGTACGACTTCTACACTTACCTTGGCCCACATTTGCGATTTGAGCCATTGCTTGCTTTCGATTTAATTTACTTTATGAGCATTTTGTAATTTCGTTGGTGGTTTTTATGATGAGTTTTTGCGCGCTGTTTTGCTTTTGGCAAAGACCGAATAAAATACTTCACCACGTAGTCGACGTCGTTGCTAATCGAATGCTACAATTCCCAACTCTCAACGGCTCTCAGCTGCTTGCGCTTGTCCGCCCTTGCCGCCTGTGCAGTAGCTCGCTCGTCAACTGATTGAGTCTCGGTCTCGACGTTGTAGCTGTTGTGACTGGCTGGCGCTTATCGAACGCGATATTGTTTGTGGGAGCGTTTTGTGGAGCGTCACGCTGGCTCACAGTGCCTGCTCGCGCTGCTCTCTTACGTGCCCCTGAAATGGCTCTGTTTCAGTCATCGATTTATCAGCCATTTGTGTTACCAATAGTTTTGACCGCTACTGATAAGAAATAATTGTCTATGATTTGTATACTTGTATTACCCAATTTTTATTTGGATACAACACAGCATTTAAAATATGTTTGATTTGCCGTTCTGTCGTTAGTTAATTACTAGTAATATAATATTTATTTTTATTTATTTATTATTTTATTTATTTAATTTATATTTAATTATTGAATAATATTATTAATAATTTTTCAAATAATTAATTTGGTTTTGTGGGATTGAACGTAGAATCAAACTGTAATTCAAAAAGGTCCTGAAAAATTCTTTCTAGGATGAAGAAGCGATGAATCATGTTATGGTCCATTTATTTAAAATGTGAATCGAAATTCCAAAACTGTGCTTCACTACCTACCTTCACTTTACCGCTCACCACTCACACCGCTCTAGAAATTGAAACTTATTGAAAAGCAACAATATTAACCTGACCTTTATCGGAATAACGCGAACTTCAACAATCAACAATAATGTTGATTCTAATATATTTAGAGAACCTGGTATCTCTTTATAACAATATATCCTTTTACCCTTTGAATTTGAAATGATTTCACTGAGCTATTGTTCGGATCTTCTAACAGCAGTGCAGCCTGCTTCGCTCGGCTATACGCTACAGATCATAAATCAAATACAGTTTAGACTATTTTTTATATGGTTACTATGAAATACATATATTCATCTTGTTTATCATTCTAGTCTTCCAACGGGGGTGCACGTAGGCCGTTCAAATATTAAATCTGTTGCCGAAAAGCGCCTACCTCTAATCAGGCGTTTCCTGAAATCACTTTTTGATGCTGCCGAGGAGATAGCGCACTCCGATTTAGTGTACACCTTTTTCCATCCGCTGCTTCGCGACCAACAGGAGGCAAAATTGGAGATGCCCAAGATAAAAGGTATGGCATGCTAGCATCCAGTTAATAAATGTTCTAATGGTGATTGCATTTTTGCAGAAGTCAAACGCCAGCCATCACGCGATAATCCAAATGAAATCGGTCAAATCAGATTATCGCTTCAATATCAACGCGGTGTACTAACTGTGATGGTGGGTATCTAGTGATATAACAGTCAGTGGCCAATGCTTAAGTATTTCTTCGATATTTTAGATACACCACGCCAAAGGACTGCCAATGCTGCAGGGCGGGCAGGAGCCGAACACATATGTAAAGTGCTACCTGAAACCGGATCCAACTAAAGTGACCAAACGGAAGACCAAAGTTGTCCGCAAAACGTGTGTGCCTAGTTTTATGGAGACAGTAAGTAAAAGAAATTACTTCAAAAATATCTGTATCCTAATCCTTATACTATCTTACAGCTTGAGTACCGTATGCCTCTGGACGTTGTGCAGCAGCGACGATTACAAGTAACAGTCTGGACTCATGATACACTGCAGGAAAATGAACTGCTCGGTGGCTTTGACATTGATTTGTCAAAACATGATCTGCGCAGTGAGCACTGCGATTGGCATCGCCTTGGATCAGTACCTAGGAATTGAACGTCTTTTTTCCTACTTTAGGCATGAATTAGACGGAATAACCATATTTGGTGTTTTACTGTCGCTTTAACGCAATACATCATTCGCATATACTCAAAGTGATTGTACATTCCAATAGCTTATACATACCTACACATATATAAAATCAGCTGACATCAGTTTTAACTTTTAATTGCAATTGTACAGATTAAATGTACTGACAAAAATCATCCATTACCAATGTTTAATAACGTGATTTTGGCTTTTTATTTATTTTTTAACAAATTTTCTCACAAAGCTGTGGCACAAAATATATGTGTTGATTATTTGAACTGTATGTTATTTTAATCCTATATCTGTAAATTCTTTTTTTAAACTTTCGATTAATAGTTTACTTGATGTTTTGAAATTGTGAACTTTAATGGGAAGGAGTTTTGTAGTAACGCCTGTATATCTACCACCAATAACTCTTACATTTGAAAAAATTTAAAGGTCGTGTTGTGATGCAGTATTAAAGAAAATATAAACTAAACATGGCAACCACATCCCGCTTTCTTTATTTTAATGTTTATTGTTTATCAGTCATGAGATAACATATTTAAGCACATTACAAATATTACATTGCATTATTAAACGCAAATCGTGGGCAAATGACTAATCTAGAAATGGTTGTCAAATTTACATTTGATTCATTGTGCATATATCTTTCATAACTCGAAATTTTTAAGTTTGCTGTAAGTTGGGCAAAATACTCATCTCGGATACCATTATTGAAATTGCGCCAGGAAGGCCTGCTTGAGAATAATGTGTCAAAAAACAAAAATATTATATGCATACACTCGGGAAGCTTTTTAGAAATGTTAATTTTAAAAAAAATAAATATCAAATATATTTTGAACAATAAAACATTATTTTCCACAAGAAATAAATAAAAATAAGAAATTAATGTAGCACCAACAAATTATATTTTTGTAAAGTAACTTTTAGCCTCACTCAATAAAATCAGCTGAAGATTTTCATTTACAATTCTATATGTGGGTATTATATAGTATATATATGTGTATTTCTTTAACTGAATAATTATATGCTCGCGATGCAAACACATTTATACATTGGACTGTACAAGTATGTATGTATGTACAAATGTAGGTAAAAATAGAAGTTTATAAATTGTCATGCACACAGCACTCAAATGAGCACATAGTTGAAAACAAAATCTCAGAACAACTGCTTGTGTATTCTAAAAATCACAACAATCCAATAATATAAAAATGTACTAAAAGTATTTAGGTGTTTATTTTTTTTTTGTAAAAAAAATCTGTCTATGTTTTATATGATAAATAAAATTTACTAGGTGTATTGAATCCGTTGGATTGTGTTTTCTATTTGAAAATATCCCTTCGTCTAGCAGTAATATTCACCACTTGATGAGGTAAAAAACTTAGTAGCAAAAAAATTAGAAGTCAGATTAGAAAGTAGTTAAACATAAACAATTTCAATAATATTTTTATACCTTGTACCTAAATGTTAAAATGGTAAACTAGTTGTGTGTTATGTGTTACTACGTTACACACAAATGGAGGTGTTGCAGACGTTCCTATTCTTTTCGAGAGGAATTACAACAAAATCGCGACCTTAAAGGGCATCTACTGTAATTATAATGAAGTCGCTCTTCATTTCTTATCCATTTATGTTATGCACATACATACATAGAAATGCCTGTACTCGCAAAATTTTTCATATGTAATAGATACTAATGGAACGAATCTGATTTTCTAGGATAACGCTCAGGCAACCAAATATCTGCTACAGTTAGAACTGTCAATGAATTTCTCCTTTACATCCTTAAAGTCGTTTACATATTTTCTCTCCCGCTTGAATATTATTCTGCTTTTTGGACAATTCACATACGGTCGAAGATCTAAATCAATTTTCGGATTGGTTCAGAACAGCCGTAAAAATCGTTCACAGTTTTCGCAACTTTCAAAATTAAAAAAACTATTATCAGAATCAAAACACTATTTAATTATTCGGAAAAGAAGCAACGTTACTGTTTTATTTTTGTTTTTTTTTTCCAAACTCTATAAATATTTCATCTAACGTCGTCTGCGTAATGGAGTAGTCTTCCAAATTTAATTTTGCGCGATTGCTTTCAATCAAGTGAAATATCTTCGACAAATTTGTGTCCTCTTTCGGTACAAAGTAAGTGAGCTGAGTGCGAAACTCCTTTTGTAACACAGAATCGGGTAAATGTTGTTTTATGAATATCTTGACTAATGTTACATTGTCCCCACATCTATCGCAAGAAAACTCTTTTTGGCCAGCTGATGTTGATGCTCGATTGCTAGAACGTGCACCCATAGCGGACATGCGTTGGGTAGATGTGGATCTGTGTTGGCTTGATGATCCTTCTAAAGTGGACATGCGTTGGGATGATGGTGATCTTAGTTGGTTTGATGTTGATCTACGTTGGGACGAACGTGACATAGCTGGCGACCCCCTGGCCACTGTGATTTTAAGTACAAGTCCCTTTGAATACTTGTTTTTTATGGATTGTATAGAGCCAATGCACTTAAAATTTCCATCCACCATAATGGCAATTCGCGTACATAAAGCCTCTACTTCCTCCATGCAGTGGGATGTCAGGACAATACCCTTTCCCATATCTCGTATCGTCGCCAACAATTTCCACATTTGTCGACGAGCACTTGGGTCCATACCGGCCGATGGCTCATCTAGATATAGGATCGATGGATCGGTAATGAGTGCAATGGCAACACTCAGCTTGCGCTTGTTTCCTCCACTGTAGTTTTTTATTGGCTTGTCAATATGTTTAATGAAGCCCAATTCTGATGCCAAATCATTACAGACATTGTTTATGTAACGCTGATGAACGCCCCGAAGCATACAGTATAGCCGCATAGTCTCGTTACCGGTTAGCTCTCCTAGCAACGCATCATATTGTGGACAATAGCCAATGTGATCATACACCTTGTGCATTTGCTTTCTAACGCTCAGACCATCTACATAGGCGTTTCCTTTAGTAATACTCACATCACCAGTGAGCATTTTAAAAGTGGTCGATTTTCCAGCACCATTAACGCCCAATAATCCAAAACACTCGGAACGCGCAACGGAGAACGACAATTCCTTAACTGGTGTGAAGCCGCCATATTTTTTGCAGATACGGTCGACCACCAGAGGCATGTTTTTTCGATCATCTTCTGTCATATTAGTAATTATTTCTCGTTCAAGTTCCACATCAACATCATTGTTATTGTTAGCTGAGTCCTGTCCGCCTTCCGCTCTATTTGAGTAATTGCAGCAGATAATAGAGAAAACACCGTTGAAGAAATCACGAAATCCAGTACACCTTTTTGAATCTAAGATTAATAGTAATAGGAACAGTAAAATGCCCTCCAGGAAGAGATATATGATTTCGGTCCCTATACCGGGCTTTGTAAACCCAAAATAGCCGGGAATATCACAGCAAAGAGGGATCATGGAACAGGGGTTTCCATTCGTTAGCTTCTCGATATATGGAGCGCTGCATCTGTTCCGAACTTTGTAGTTTTCATAAAGGCTATTCATTCCGTAAAGAAGGCAAAAGTGGGGAAGCAGGCGGAAAACCGGGCCCACTATATTCGCAATTGATTGTTTGTTAGCCATAACGAATGAATAATGGAAAAAAAACAAGACTAGTCCACCAATCGCACCTAGAAGAGAGGTGCGGATATATCCTGCTGCACTTTCACTGGACCATCCGGCCAACATATAGGCGAAAGGAATGGCAGCAAAACCAAACATCAGCAGCAAAAACAAATTGCGAATTATCTCCGAAAGTGTAGAGTAACCGGGCTCTTGATAAAGAACTATAGTGATTACTGTAATAAGTGAACACAAAACGAAAATTGCAAAGTCCCACAGTAGATGCGATATCCAATATAAATAGACATCAACGCCGGTAAGGAACTGAAGCAGTTTAGCCCGTGCTTCGCGCTCCTTTATCACGGGTATCACAAAAAATGCAATAACGAAGCTCATACACATAGTTAGATTCATAGCGATATTGAGGCCCCCGAAGTCAGCTGTTTGCGTTCTCTTTTGAACCGTGTCCTGACTGTATGGTAGGGGATAATTAGTAACACGTATACTTGCCTTTGGGCCCAAAAAATGACGGGCCATAGCGTTGTGCAGTATATTAAGTGTAAGTGGCGCTGTATGATATGGCTTATTGTTCAACCAGACGGTCAGGTTCTTTTCTGATATAGTCGCACCAGCAATGTATGTCCTATCAACACCTGTTCGATCCTCTTTTGCTGCACCCAGTATATAATCTTCGAAGCTGGCGCCGTTTGTATTTAGCAACTTACCAGAATTACCTTCGACGTGCTTAGCATATGCGGTTGCGATTCCACCAGTTTCCTTTCCTGTTTTATTTTCCAGCACCACATAGGCGTCAGGATATATATTAAAGGATATGTCCAGAGGCAAAAGCTTTGGAAAGGGATCTAAGTTCATTGTAATGCTCAGGGTCATCACCATGAAAAGAAGAGGCAACAAAAGCTGCATAACAAGTATCCATAAGCTTCGTTTTGTAGTGAGGACCTTTTTCCTTAGCATAGCTCTCCAGCGCATACGACAGCGGGTACGTGAGTTGGATTCGTACACGTCTTCGTTGAAGATACCATTTTCTCTGCCACCACTAAAGCGTAATTGTATTGATTTGTTGGTCGCATGTTCTCCTTCGTCCAACTGTTGGCCACCAGGGTTCCTACTCTTCTCCGCACCGGTCTTTTCAAATACATCTTCCAAGGAAGCGGCGCTTATACCGTAGCCACTCAAGTGCAATTTTTTGGATTTACTCTCAAGTCCACTTAACATATCTGCGTACACTGCAGATTTCGAAGCGGGCAGGCGATATGTTAAGTCCATTCCTACCTCGTTTTCTAGCTTTATATTTGATATATATTTGCGTAAGTATGCGGTTACTTTTTCAACATTGCATCCTTCTTGCTTTATGCATACTAATCTGTAGCCGGAGTCATAAGTATTTTTAAGATTAAACGACGTATCATAGCATTGTAGCTGGCCATTGCACATAATGGCGATGCGATCCGCCAGGGCATCTGCTTCATCCATATAGTGTGTGGTTAGCAAAATGGTACGCCCCATCTTTTCAGCTTGGAGTAGATCCCATAGATACCGCCGTGCCGCCACGTCTAGTCCAGAGCTGGGCTCGTCGCACAGAACTGTTCTGGTGTTGCCACAAAGTGCACAACAGAGCGAAAGCTTTCTTTTCATGCCACCTGATAGCTTTCGAGCGGCTGTACGTTGTTTTTTCTCCAAATCCATGATCTCCATATATTTTTTCAACTCACGCTTCAACTCATGTCCTTCCATGCCTTTCAGGCGACCGAAGAATTTTATATGATTGCGCACGCTCATATCACCAAAGAGCACATTGTGCTGCGGGCAAATCCCCATGGAGCTGCGAGCACAATCCAGTTGTGTACGGATATCGCAACCATTTATAAAAGCTGTGCCTGCGGTTGGTGGAATAATGCCGGTAAGCATTTGAATGGTTGTTGTTTTTCCAGCTCCGTTGTGCCCTAGCAATACGGTTATTTCATCGCGATACAAATTGAAACTAAGAGACTGTACAGCAATATGATTACCAAAGCGCTTTTGGAGATTGCATATCTGAATGCCAACCTGCTCAACCGCGTGCTCAGACTGAGTGGTGGGGCACGAGCAAGGCTCGTCAAAAGAACTTTCGCTATCACGGGAAACTGCTGAAAATCCCAATAGAGGGTACAAAAAATTTCGTTGGAAAGGAAAATACCATTTTCGTGCAATGCCATATCTTCCGGGGTGTATCATCTCAACATATAGGCAAATAATCATGTATATCACAGATGACAACATTAACATGGCAATCACGTAAAATAAACTGAAGCTATCATCTGCGGAGACACGGCTGAACATGTTGCTAAAGCGAAGGCCTTCACCACTTCCTTCAAACGCTAAAATTGTGCGAACTCCTAGTCCTAGTGCAGTATTAGTAAAGACAACACAAGTAATTAGCTTGGGCGCAATTCCAATTTCATGGTAAAAACTATTAACGTATGAAAAAGGAATAAAGGAAGCAAAACACCAGATGACCATGATAGCGGTCGCAGAACTGGCCCTGTTGAAGAAGACGGCCACCATGAAACTAAAACAGACGCACGACACTACGTAAAAATGGAAAAAAAAAATCATTGGGAAGAAACTGGAATATGTAAGTATAGGAGGAGCAAAAATTCCGAGAAGAAGCATCAACGTAACTATAATCGCAACAACCATAAGAACCACATAGCTCTTGATAAACCATGCCAACCAGTGAATCCAATTGTGCAGGTCAAGAAGTTTCATGATCTCCTTCAGCTGTGCTTCTTTCTCAGTTGCCACATACTTCGTTATCATAGCGCATGGATAGATAAAGCAGAACAATAACCATAATGGCAACATGCCTCCTAGCAGTGGTATGAGAACGTCGTCGTCGTAGGTGTTATACGGAAATCGTCTCAGCTGTACTTTTGGTAACGATGCAACTTTCGAGTCGGTGGCTAGCTTTAACCAGGACATGGTCACGGCATTTTGTATTGGTAAGAAACCTTCCATTATGTATCCAACGGGCGAGCCTCCAGTATTGTTGTCTCTATTACGCGGGCCGACAGAGTCAATTTGAGGGAAAACTTGATCAGTCATCCAAGTTAATAGTTGATTGTTGGTGCGCAATTCGCTGGGAAAACGCAACGAATATTTGAGAATCTGTGGAATCTTCCCACCGTCTTTTCCAACATTAGTAGATTCAAATACAACGCCGGCTATATAATTATGTTTCACAACATCGAACTCCAGGTGCTCAGAAGTATTATAGGGCCGGGAGCCATTTAGTTTCAGTAGCTTTACAGTCTCCGAGATGATACCGTCATTTGTAGTGCTTTTTGGTGTATAACATAGTACATGTTTAGGCATATTAAATGTACCGTTGTCATGTATGAAAATTATTCCTTTCGGCACTGACTTCAGGTAGACTTCCAGATTGTCTATGGTAATAGTCGGAAAACGTGTCTCTGGTACGACTTCCGGTTTCACGAATATGCGTAGTAACATGATAAGCAATAAAAGTACTACTACCAAAAGAATAGTCAAGACAATTTGCAATTTTCCACTCCATTGAAGTATCCAATTCTTCCATAGCAGTAGCTTCAACTTCTGGCAGTTCGAAATGCCTTTGGGTTCAAATTCGGACAGATCTTCTGAGCTCATAATGAAGATACATCCCGTGACTTAACCAGGTTGGCAATTTATGGCATGCGAATTTGCTTACCAAATGAGTTTTGTGTATTAAAAAAAAATTGTATTTGACGTTCAAGTAAAAATGTTTTCACATATGTTTTCAAAAATATAGAGGGTTGTGATAGAAAAGTAACTCAATATTGTCGATGATAAAGGAAACAATGTCACTATAATAGTTGTATACCCTGTACCTAAAGGGTAAAAAGGCAAAAACAAAAGTAAACAACAATAGTCACTGGCAGAGCATATATATTAAACAGTTTGTCCTAACTGTCTGATTGACGTTGAACGCACAGCCCAAACGGTGACAGCTGGGAAGCTGAATTTTGGAGGCCAAGTCCAAGGCGGTTTTGGAAAATTCAAACGCCAAAGGGGGGAAAACGAGCCCAAAACAAGAAAGGAATGCTAAAGCCGAGCAGGCTCAACTCTTAAGTACCCTGTACCACCCCACCGAAAAAAAATAATAATTAAATTAATTAATTAATGTAATTAAATTAATTTAATTAATTAACTTAATTAAATATAAACAAGAAAGGAATGCTAAAGTCGAGCAGGCTCAACTCTTAAATACCCTGTACCACCCCACAAAAAAGTAATTAAATTAATTAATTAATTAAATTTAATTAATTAACTAAATTAATTTAATTAATTAACTAAATTAAATATAAAATATTCCATGCATGCATACATACATTTACATTTACATCAGAATCGTGCCTTATGCGTGTTTGTGTACTTGTACATATGTATGTATGTGTGCATTGGGCCTGGTTATATGGCTATAACTTTCTTTCCGATCATTCTATCATAATGAGACTTGGTATACGGTTATATAATAACTAACCTAATGTGACTACCAAATTTTAGTTCAAAATTCCAAGAATTACGGAAGTTATAGAAAATCGTTAATAGGGGGGGAGTGGGGGGGTGGATCAGAAAAAATGAACAAACTCGTCCTTTCTCGGTCTCAGGAGAATCTGTATACCAAGTTTGGTTATTCTAGCTCTTATACTTTCGGAGATCCTTGCGTTCATACAGACAGACAGACGGACAGACGGACAGACAGACGGACAGACGGACAGACAGACGGACAGACGGTCAGACGGACAGACGGACATGGCTATATCGACTCGGCTTGTCATGCTGATCAAGAATATATATACTTTGTGGGGTCTACCAAGCCTCCTTCTGTGTGTTCCATGTGCACTCGCACAAAACTAATATACCCTTGTACCCTTTTGGGTACAGGGTATAATAATATACCCTTGTACCCTTTTGGGTACAGGGTATAAAAATATTAAATACATGCATACATACATTTACATCAGAATCGTGTCTATGCGTGTTGGTGTACTTGTACATACTTGTATGTGTGCATTGGCCTGGTAACTTTCTTTCTAATTACCCTATATAATGAAACCTGGTGCATGGATATATAATCACTAACTGGATGTGTCTACCAAATTTTAGTTCAAAATTCCAAGAATTACGGGAGTTATAGAAAATCGTAAATAGGGGGGGAGTGGGGGGGTGCATCGGGAAAAATGAACAAACTCGTCCTTTCCCGGGCTCAGGAGAATCTGTATACCAAGTTTGGTTATTCTAGCTCTTATACTTTCTGAGATCCTTGCGTTCATACAGACGGACAGACAGACGGGCATGGCTATATCGACTCGGCTTGTCATGCTGATCAAGAATATATATACTTTGTGGGGTCTGCCACGCCTCCTTCTGTGTGTTACATGTACACTCGCACAAAACTAATATACCATTGTACCTTTTGGGTATAAAAAACCAATCAGCATCAAATTTGTTTTTTTTTTTTTTTTTAACCAGAGAAAGAATACAAACAAGAAAGGAATGCTAAAGTCGAGCAGGCTCAACTCTTAAATACCCTGTACCACCCCACAAAAAAGTAATTTAATTAATTAATTATTTTAATTTAATTAATTAACAAAATTAATTTAATTAATTAACTAAATATTAACTAATTAAATATAAAATATCCAATGCATGCATACATACATTTACATTTACATCAGAATCGTGCCTTATGCGTGTTTGTGTACTTGTACATATGTATGTATGTGTGCATTGGGCCTGGTTATATGGCTATAACTTTCTTTCCGATCATTCTATCATAATGAAACTTGGTATACGAATATATAATTAGTAACCTAATAAGACTACCAAATTTTAGTTCAAAATTCAAAGAATTACGGGAGTTATAGAAAATTGGTAATAGGGGGGGAGTGGGGGGTTGGATCAGAAAAAATGAACAAACTCGTCCTTTCTCGGTCTCAGGAGAATCTGTATACCAAGTTTGGTTATTCTAGCTCTTATACTTTCGGAGATCCTTGCGTTCATACAGACAGACAGACGGACAGACAGACAGACAGACAGACAGACGGACAGACAGACGGACAGACGGTCAGACGGACAGACGGACATGGCTATATCGACTCGGCTTGTCATGCTGATCAAGAATATATATACTTTGTGGGGTCTACCAAGCCTCCTTCTGTGTATTCCATGTGCACTCGCACAAAACTAATATACCCTTGTACCCTTTGGGTACAGGGTATAAAAACTGCACTCGTTCTTTTTTAGTCACAAGTATTAGAGAGCGGGCGGAAAGAATCCGGCACATGCCCACCTCTAGGTCCTGGCATTTTTAGCTGTGATTTACCGTTTTAGTGCCAAACGGTTATCTCTATTCTGAAGAATTCTAAGACTCATTTAGCGTTAAGCTTAATCTGTGAGTGTACTTGTATTCTTGCAATTTACAAAAGAAGAAACACACTTTTAACACCCACAACATTCATATTTTGAATTAAAAACACATAGTGTTGAATAGCAAAATTGAATACTTACACGCATATGTACATACATATGTTCATAAATATGTAGTATATCTGCAAATGAAATAGTGTTTAATTCTAGAAACTAATAGCCCTCAATGTCACATTCGATACATGTATATAAAATAGTTTGTCATACAAAAAGAGCTCAAATTTTCAACCCATTCTTTTCATTGGGACTTTATTCTGTTTTCATTTCGGCATGAATTGTAGTTGAAACTTGGAATACGAAAACTATTGTATGTATGTATGAATATAAATATGTAAGCAGCTGAAATGTGGATACAAGTTTCCTGTTAAAATCGAGGTGATTACAAAATAAAAAAGAATACAAGATAAACTGTGCAATGTTCTTGGAAATTTTCATTAAAGTCTAGAAGAAATAATTATAATAATTTAGGTATGTACATACATACATTTTGTGCATATTCATACTTATGTTTTGCAGTTGCATAAGTTCAAAAAATATCTTTGCTCAATTTTATTACATTTTATATTTACATAAATATACATATGTAAATAGTAATAGTACATGTATGGTGTATTTTGAATTAATTCATCAGAAATTTCACAATTTAATTTAAAAATATTATTATTTAATTTTTCAGAAATTGCACATTTTAGTTTTTGGTTTGCCAGCGCTTAAGTACTTGGTATGAGAATCGCAGAGGAGGGCGCCCACAATATTTTAATTTAATTTATCAGAAATTTCATAATTTATTTTTAAAATATTTTATTTTTCTCAGTATGTTGTGTATTATATGCCCTAGCTTTCGGAAATTACCAAAGTAATTTGCTATTGGCAGTTCCTTTAGAAACTTTAATAAGGAAACCAAGGGTTTTCGTTTTCTTTCCGACAAGCTAATTACGGCAAAACAGTCAGACGAAAATTATTCCTAAAACTGTAACTGAAATCTTCACATAGTAGGTGGGATAAATATTTCACTACAACAGCTATTTTAAAACATTGGCAAAACAATATTTTGAGTCAAACCGTTTCGAAAATTAAAAATTTGGTGAAAGAAAGATGACGACAGCTAACTTGGAAAAGGGCGAATTAATGAGCCAAGTCAAGCAACAGATTGCTGTGGCTAACGCGCAGGAGATGCTCGCTAAAATGACTGAGAAATGCTTCAAGAAGTGTATCAATAAACCAGGAAAAGCATTAGATACCTCGGAGCAGCGTTGTATTTCGCAGTGCATGGATCGCTTTATGGATGCATGGAACTTGGTCTCTCGTACTTATGGCAATCGTTTGCAGCGCGAACAAACCAAGGTGTTAGATCAGGTCGATATGACAAATTAGGAATACCACTGGTCCCTTCCACATTAAATCAATTGTAATAAAGGCAGGTGGGAAGCGGGCTCCATACCATACATACCAACAACTAATTTGTTTTTAATCGTAAATGGGGTTGAGAGCGTCATAAGACTTTATCAATCGCTCGTTGCAAATACCTTGGCATGCAGATAAGCGAATTTTTATCGCAATTGCAAAAAGTGCATCATGGGATTTGTCACACTCGCTGACAGTTTATTAAACGCTTAGGGTATGATCGTTATCGTGTTTGGAATGGTCTCGCTAGCTAACGGATGGACAAGTGCTGGTCAGATTGGGTTAATGCATGTTGCAATATGCCAACTAAAGTTCGAGCACTGCTAAGTATAGTTTCGAGACCACTCTAATCCGATGCAGCCTTTTTCGTCATATGCAAATTAATCTCTTTAAATGCGATTTTATGTCATGAAATAATTTATTAAGTAATTGTAATCGAAGTTATCTGAGATTATCGCTGCTATTTAGAAATAGATTCATATCTGAATTATCATGAACTCAAAATCAATAGCTACTTTAGTATTTTATGGGAAACGAACTGTCTAATATTGAATAATTCCAAGAATAATACTGATTTAATAATACTTTTTGTATTTGTTTGACAAACGCTGATTTTTTTTCAATATGTCAAAGGTAGTCTTAATATTTAAATCATGATTTATCGTATAAATCACAAACTTCTCATTCCATCAACATAGTTTCGCCTGGATTTGAGTATTTGAGTGCAGTTTGTGAAATAAGTTGCTAGGGCCAGTCATACATAGTGTTATCAATGTTATCAATAGCCAACAAAATATATGTACATTTAATTATAGTGCGTGCAAGTGACCTCTGCACTACCTCAATACGTTTGCCAAAAAAAGGTAAAAATTAAAAAAAAAAATCAAAATAAAAATAAAAAGTGAAATATAATAAAAAATGGCAAAAGATAAAATGTGAATTGTGGCCGAACTTATTGGCTCGAATACCAGAGGAAACAAAATCTAACAGTTTTTTCCTCAACTAGGTACATTCGAAGCCACACAAGTTACGATAAGAGTGCGAACTAAAACGCGTATATGAACTAAAGGCCCGGGCTTTTCACAAAAAGCTTTTTCACTCTAACAACCAAAACGAGTAATCATCATCGTACAAAAACAATTGCAAGACTACGATAAGTAGTGGTAGCAGCACCTTATCTAAGCAACTAATCGGACCGGCCCTGCCCATGACAGGTATACTACGAGTATACTTGCTTTTGTTGTTGTATGCAGTATGTGTTTATACGATGAACAATCTTTAAAAGGAAAAAGCGATGTATGTGTATATTATCCACATATATATATATATATGTATATAGTATGTATGTATGTACATCATCATCGTGTATAATCATTTACACTATCAACAAGATGGTCGTTGTTCTATTGTTGAAGATTACCAATTGGTAGACAACAGATACTAAAGACTTGGGTTACACTGTGTGTTTACTATCAACTAATATTATATTTTGTTGCAATATCTTTATAGTTACGATTTTTGTATGCAACACAACTTCTCTGTGTCATAAAGTTCAGATCGGAGCGGAAATTCACAAAACACTCCCTTTAAAAAAAGAACATTATTTACATTGGACCATTTTAAGACTGATTGCCTTTTTCAGGAATGTATTGCATATATTTCTTAAAGAGGTGATGCAATTTTGTTGAAACAACATCTTTGTAACGCGTTGCACAAGTTTTGTACGTAATATACAGTATAACGTTTGTATTTCATGTAATAGTTGAAAACAATTCACTTAGAAAACCTTTTAAATTAATTGCAACGTATTTGTCTATAAAAGAAATGAATGGAGTCTCGGACTGCTAGTTTTCCGGTGAAGTTCAAAAATGCAATTAGGTGAGATAGACCTGTTCGCTATTATAACTCCAGTTTATCTTATAATTCCGTCTTTTCAGCTAAATTTTTGGGTACTAGTCTAATGGCAATCCAATTAGCGATTGCCTATGATTTGTGCGCAGATCAAAGCTTTGGAAATAAAGTAGCGGACCTAGAGGATTCTCGTGCATACATAACATGCCTCGGCATACTGGGACAAATTAAAAATATCTGCGCTGAGGGATTTCGTTTCAGTGGACAAGAACAAACGTGCATAGTGGAGAAAAACTCGAAAGGAGTGCAAGCAAAAGATGCAGAAAATATATTCAATATCAATCAAAATATAACGATGGATAGGCCAATTATTTTTAACATTTTAGGATTAGTTTTAAAAAAGTCTGAGACGCCTAAGCCACCTATGCCATTGCCACCTTCAACAAGTAAACCATTGACACCAGAGCAGACTGAACCTACAACGTCATTGTCCACACAACAACCATCTGAAAATGATAGTTCCAGCACCGAAACTGCAACTACACCCGATGAATTCAGTTCAACCAGTCCATCTGAAATTGAAAGCACAATTTCAACTACTTCATTGTCAACTGACTCAACTCTGACAACTAGTATTGGAGATGATTCTTCGACCTCTCAAAGTCAGTCAGTTTCTACTTCATCAACTGATTCGACCCCAGACACAACCAACAGGTCTTCAGAAAGCAGTACAGCTGAAGACGTGACTATTAGTTCCATAGGTTCTACATCTACGGAGGTACCGCCTGACAGTTCCACAACAAGTGACAGTACGAGCACCGAAATTGTTTCAGTATCTACAACTACACCCGATGAATTCAGTTCAGCCAGTCCATCTGAAGTAGAAAGCACAATTTCAACTACTTCATTGTCAACTGACTCAACTCTGACAACTAGTATTGGAGATGATTCTTCGACCTCTCAAAGTCAGTCAGTTTCTACTTCATCAACTGATTCGACCCCAGACACAACCAACAGGTCTTCAGAAAGCAGTACAGCTGAAGACGTGACTACTAGTTCCATAGGTTCTACATCTACGGACGTTCTGCCTGGGAGTTCTACAACAAGTGAGAGTACGAGCACTGAAGACACTACGGCGGAATACACTTCAAGCTCTGAAAGTCAGTCTGATACCGAAACCACTTCGATTATTCCAAGCTTAACGACTGTTTGCGACTAGTTCGTGACACCACTGATAAATCTTTAAGAAATAAACCTATTAATTGTACATGTGTTTCTGTTTTTTGCCTGCATAAAACTATTTGGGAACTTAGGATGGTTAAAAAACTAGGCGTATAGTTGCAATTTTTTCACTCATTTTATCCAAAGCACTTATGGAATGTGTAATTGTGGTGGAAAAAGTGATAAATTAACTAAAAGACTATGCTTGGCTTCGTCTAACTCAGACTTACCTTCCTTTTGGAGTGCAGACATCTATGATCGAAATTTGAAACTCAGTATGTTACTTGGATCCAATATCTTTATGAATTGTAAATGTTTCATCATATAGTTTCAACGTTAGCTAAATAATATAGTTTTCTGGTTTAGTCAGTCTGGTGAACAAAATACGCTTTGCAAAGAAATCGTTGATGCAACTGATGGTCCACCCTACTTTTTGAAGTGAACAATTTGTTTGCTTAAATAATGTTCAGTGTAGTTGGTTAAAAAACACCCTGTATTTCTAGTACTTTTAAAGCAAGTACCAATATTATAAGTATTTCCTTTCATGTTCCACTCGAATTGAACAAGTAACTTGAAGACCCCATTTTAAACTTAATTGCTTACCACAGCAATGTTACCTTTAAAAAGCACTGCAATGCGCTTTAGAATTGCAGTTTGCTAGATGATGTTTTAAAATGCAAATGGGTAAGTAGAACTGTGGAAGGTAAAAGCGAAATGTATAACAGGCTCTTTTTTGTTTCAGTAAATTTCCTGTGGATTGGTCTGTTGGCTCTTCCACAGGCTTTTGCCACGGACCTTTGTGTGGGTCAGGACTTTGGAATAAAAGTTAATGATCCTGAGAACCCTGATGCATATTATTTATGCCTAGGATTATTGGGACATATTAAAAATAAATGCGCTGAAGGATTTCAGTTTAGCGTACGAGAACAACAATGCATTGTTCATATCCAAAGGCACATTGATAGTAACCAAGGGGATGGCTTAAAAAATGTGTTTAACATAAATCAAAACATATCGATGCATAGGCCAATTATTTTTAATATATTGGGCTTATTATGGAATAGATCAGAGAAGCCGGCGGCTCCAGGGCCAACAACAACTAAAGGTCCCCCAACAATTACTATTGCTACTACTTCTACTACTACTACTACTATAAATGATTTAACTGAAGAAAATAGTTCGGTAAGTCCTTCGTCCACTGAAGCTATCTCTGAGAAGTCGTCGGTTAGTATAGTGAGCACTACAGATCACGACAGCTCCAGCTCCGCAATTCCATCGCCTACTTCATCAACTGTCAGTTCATCATCGACTGAAGTGGTACCGGAAAGTTCTACGCTACCTGACAGCTCGAGCTCTGAACGTGACAGCTCCAGCTCCGAAATTCCATCGTCTTCTTCTTCAGCTTTAAGTGAATCAACCCCTAATAGTTCCTCTGAAGACTCCAGCTCTGTCAGTTCATCATCGACTGAAGTGGTACCGGAAAGTTCTACGCTACCTGACAGCTCGAGCTCTGAACGTGACAGCTCCAGCTCCGAAATTCCATCGTTTTCTTCTTCAGCTTTAAGTGAATCAACCCCAAATAGTTCCTCTGAAGACTCCAGCTCTGTCAGTTCATCATCGACTGAAGTGGTACCGGAAAGTTCTACGCTACCTGACAGCTCGAGCTCCGAACGTGACAGCTCCAGCTCCGAAATTCCATCGTCTTCTTCTTCAGCTTTAAGTGAACCAACCCCTAATAGTTCCTCTGAAGACTCCAGCTCTGTCAGTTCATCATCGACTGATGTGGTACCGGAAAGTTCTACGCTACCTGACAGCTCGAGCTCTGAACGTGACAGCTCCAGCTCCGAAATTCCATCGTCTTCTTCTTCAGCTTTAAGTGAATCAACCCCTAATAGTTTTTCTGAAGACTCCAGCTCTGTCAGTTCATCATCGACTGAAGTGGTACCGGAAAGTTCTACACTACCTGATAGCTCGAGCTCCGAACGTGACAGCTCCAGCTCCGAAATTCCATCGTCTTCTTCTTCAGCTTTAAGTGAATCAACCCCTAATAGTTCCGCTGAAGACTCCAGCTCTGTGAGTTCGTCATCGACAGAAGTGGTACCGGAAAGTTCTACGCTACCTAACAGCTCGAGCTCTGAACGTGACAGCTCCAGCTCCGAAATTCCATCGTCTGCTTCAGATTTAAGTGAATCAACCCCTAATAGTTTTTCTGAAGACTCCAGCTCTGTCAGTTCATCATCGACTGAAGTGGTACCGGAAAGTTCTACGCTAGCTGACAGCTCGAGCTCTGAACGTGACAGCTCCAGCTCCGAAATTCCATCGTCTGCTTCAGATTTAAGTGAATCAACCCCAAATAGTTTTTCTGAAGACTCCAGCTCTGTCAGTTCATCATCGACTGAAGTGGTACCGGAAAGTTCTACGCTAGCTGACAGCTCGAGCTCTGAACGTGACAGCTCCAGCTCCGAAATTCCATCGTCTGCTTCAGATTTAAGTGAATCAACCCCAAATAGTTTTTCGGAAGACTCCAGCTCTGTCAGTTCATCATCGACTGAAGTGGTACCGGAAAGTTCTACGCTAGCTGACAGCTCGAGCTCCGAACGTGACAGCTCCAGCTCCGAAATTCCATCGTCTTCTTCTTCAGCTTTAAGTGAATCAACCCCTAATAGTTCCGCTGAAGACTCCAGCTCTGTGAGTTCATCATCGACTGAAGTGGTACCGGAAAGTTCTACGCTAGCTGACAGCTCGAGCTCTGAACGTGACAGCTCCAGCTCCGAAATTCCATCGTCTGCTTCAGATTTAAGTGAATCAACCCCAAATAGTTTTTCTGAAGACTCCAGCTCTGTCAGTTCATCATCGACTGAAGTGGTACCGGAAAGTTCTACGCTAGCTGACAGCTCGAGCTCTGAACTTGACAGCTCTATCTCCAAAATTCCATCGTCTCCTTCAGATTTAAGTGAATCAACCCCAAATAGTTTTTCTGAAGACTCCAGCTCTGTCAGTTTATCATCGACTGAAGTGGTACCGGAAAGTTCTACGCTAGCTGACAGCTCGAGCTCTGAACGTGACAGCTCCAGCTCCGAAATTCCATCGTCTGCTTCAGATTTAAGTGAATCAACCCCAAATAGTTTTTCTGAAGACTCCAGCTCTGTCAGTTTATCATCGACTGAAGTGGTACCGGAAAGTTCTACGCTAGCTGACAGCTCGAGCTCTGAACGTGACAGCTCCAGCTCCGAAATTCCATCGTCTGCTTCAGATTTAAGTGAATCAACCCCAAATAGTTTTTCGGAAGACTCCAGCTCTGTCAGTTCATCATCGACAGAAGTAGTAGCGGAAAATTCTACGCTAGCTGACAGCTCGAGCTCTGAACGTGACAGCTCCAGCTCCGAAATTCCATCGTCTCCTTCAGATTTAAGTGAATCAACCCCAAATAGTTTTTCTGAAGACTCCAGCTCTGTCAGTTCATCATCGACTGAAGTGGTACCGGAAAGTTCTACGCTACCTGACAGCTCGAGCTCTGAACGTGACAGCTCCAGCTCCAAAATTCCATCGTCTTCTTCTTCTGTTATAAGTGAACAAACTCCAAGTAAAGACTCCGGTTCTGTCAGTTCATCATCGACTGAAATGAAAATGGAAACCTCTAAAAATCCTTCGTCTACCTCAGGATCAGTTAACTCAACGATAAATAGCTCAAATGAAAATTCCAGTTTTGTAAGTCCTTCATCCATTCAAGTATTGGAAAGTTCCACAAAAGTTATAGATATTTCAAACTTTGAACATATTTCGTCTTCTGCCTTGGAGGGAACACCCAGCAAAGCTGAAAACTTTGTTTTTGAAACCGCTTCACCGAGCGAAACAATTGCAGAATCACCATCAAAACAGCATAACTCGAGCTCACGCCAGATTATACAAAAGAAAAACATGAAAGGCGATATCATTGACTCTGAAGAAATAATTGCCCCCACTAAACGGACTACCCCAAGCTTAGGAACACCTGTTCATAGCTCTCGCAAAATAATTTCTTATAGCATTCGTATACCGGAGACTCAAGCTTCTATAGCTGAACCCATTACGCCAACTTCTGATTGCAAATTTTTACCAAACGGTGCATATTTTAGAGATTCTAAGCTCTGTAACAAATTTTATGTATGTGCCAATGGCCTCGCTATACCGCGACAGTGTCCAGGAGTTCTGTATTTTGATATTAAGAAAAAAGTCTGCAACTTCCCCAGTTTCGTGGAATGTACGAATGCTGAATCGGAAACGGTTGTTCCCAAGTTTGAAGTGCCTTCTACCCAAGATACTAAGACTTATGGTCCACAGCGGATATCGACTCCAAATTGTGAATTATTGCCTAATGGCGCTTACATACGAGACCCCAATCTATGCAGTAAATTTTATGTCTGTAGCAATGGGCATCCTATAGCTCGTCAATGCCCTAGAGGTCTCTATTTCGATCCTGAAATAAAATATTGTAATTTCCCTGGTCTAGTTGATTGTACATCGGCCGATTTTCAATCCATTCAAACCATCAAACCTATTTCAATCAACCGGGCAATGGGATCGGAGCAGCTAGATTGTAAGGACAAAGCAGATGGTACTAGCATGCGGGATCTCAAACAGTGTAATAAGTACTATTTATGTCGCAACGGCAAATCCGTTCTTCACTACTGTACGCCAGGACTATGGTTTGACACCGATCGCCAGATCTGCGCACAAAAAAAGCTTGTAAAGTGCTTACCTGAAAGCGTGGCTTAAATGAAATCAGAAATTATCTTGAAAATACCATACAATATACCATATGTAGTCCATAAGTAGAAATTAAGTGGCGTATACTTTATTAATTATTTATTGTTTAGATTATAAGTTGGTGGATGGTAAAATTATTTTTAGTTTTAAAAGTGGCGTGTACTTTCTATGTAAATTTGAAAGATTTTTAAAAGTAAAGACAATACACATTAGACTCAAGAAATTTGATCAACTTTCGAGCAAACAAATTACTCCCATGGTTTCGTGTCAGGCTCCTCTGTACCCGGTAGCCATATGAGGTTGATACTGACGTTCTGGGCCATCTCGTTAATAGATCTGCGAAAGCCGGTGCTGTCGTTGGAATTGTCTAAATTCGAGTGTAGTGCCTTGGCTCTGGATCTCAGAGACTATAAGAGCTAGAGACACCAAATTTTGCACAAAGATGCTTATGTGTGTACGCTATACGAGTTTGTTTAATTTTTTTGATTTTCCCCCCACTTCCCCCCTATGGGGGTTTTCCCGATTTTCCATTCGTATAATCGCCTATATCTCGGAGACTATAAGACCTAGGGACACCAAATTTTAGTCCCAGATGCCTTATGTGAATACGAAGAAAATAGGTATTTTGGAATTTCCGTCCCTCCTCCCTCTCCCCCGCAAATCGTAACTCCCGTAATTCTTGGAATTTTAAACTTAAACTTGGCAAATACCTCCATTTAGGTATTATAAGTCCAAATGCCATGTTTCATCATGATAGGTCAATTTATTGATTTGGCTTTCATTCTATTATTATTATAGTCTACACCCAAAGGTTAAAAGGCTATACTGGTTTTGTACTCACACAAAAAGAAGCGGGGCAGACCCCACAAACTATATAAATGTATTCTTGATCAGGATGACAAGACGGGTCGATATAGCCATGTCCGTTCGTCCGTCTGTATGAACGCAAGAATCTCAGAAAGTATAAGAGCAGAATAATCAAACGTGGAATCCTAAGTCCGAGAAAGTACAAGATCGATTTTTTTGATGCACCCCTCCACCGCTATTAGTGATTTCCATAACTCTCATAATTCTTAGAGTTTTTAACCAACATTTTGTAACAACATTCCGTTAGTGATATGTCCGTAAGCCAAGTTTCATCATGATGATCTCTGCCCATGCTCTGCCCGCAACTGTTGTTGCTACTTTGACTTTGGTGACCGCACACATACACGCATATAAACACGTATAGATACGATCCTGATGTAAATGTATGCTGTTGAAACTGAACATACAAATATGTCACCACTTATGTTTGTATGTATGTATTAAATATTTTTTATATAATTTTTATTTATTTATTTGATTTTAATTTTTGGAAACCTCTTTTCTTCTCTAGAAGATATTTCTATAAGTTCAATGTTAAAACTCTTTCATAATCTGGCTATAATTTGATAAATCTGAATTGTTTTGCTACTTATGTTATGTATTAACCAAGGTCACAAAACAACACTATACATATGTATGCCTTCGATATGCAATTTTAAAACTAATATAGTCCATCGCTATTTTTTTTGGAAGGAATCGGTGATTGGGTTTGCTAGGCTTATAAAAACACTTTGGTAACCAACGCTTGTTTCAACTAATGTTTCAGTTGATTATACTCTGTACATAAAATGTACAAGAGTATGTTAGGTTTGCGGGAACTGAAAATGTAACAGGCAGAAGAAGGCGTGGCAGACCCCACAAAGTATATATATTCTTGATCAGCATGACGAGACGAGTCGATCTAGCCCTGTCTGTCTGTCTGTCTGTCCGTACGAAGGAAACTGTTATCCCAAATTATAAAATTACAAGTTGAAATTATTTTAATTTACTTTTTCAATTTCTTTTTGTTGGAAGTGGGTACAGAGTATTTTACTGTCGGGCTTGCTCGACTGTAGCATTCTATCTTGTTTCTTTTTTGTGCGAGGTACAGGTTATTTAAGAGTTGAGCTCGCTCGACTTTAGCATTCCTTTCTTGTTTATCATGAGTTACGTTATGGTGGAACGAATCAGTTTTGCTTATCTAGTATACGGGAGTGAGGTAGTATAGACAGACGGACAGACATGCAAACATAGTTCGACTCGTTTTGTCAAGCTGATCAAAGATATAACACTTTGTGAGGTCTGCCACGCCTCCTCTTACTCTTACTTGTCATCTCCCGCAAACCTAATATAGTCTTGTACATTTCGTGTAATCTACACCTTTATTAATTCAAGGCATAGGTAGTGAGATATCCGCGAAAATTGGATTTTCAGGACCTTTGACTTTGAATATCTTTGGAGATAACATATTTAACGCCAAAACAAAGGTTTATTCAAATTTCAGCATATTATCTTTTATTTCATTTATTACCCTAATTTGACTAGGCTAATAACAACTTTTTAGTTCATGACTTTCGTTCGATTATTATTTATTTTATTAGTGTGTTTTTTAGTTTTAATGTAATTGTTGCAGATCTATTTTGGTTTCATCTCTAGAATGACATTTGTATAAGTTAAATGTTAAAAGTCTTTCATAACCTGACCATAATTTGAAAAACCTGATTTGTTATGCTACTTTTGTAATGTATAAACCAAGGTAATAACACCTGGACTCTATATATGCCTTCGATATGCAATTTTAAAACTGATGTAGTAAAACTCCATCGCTATTTTTTGAAACGAATCATTAATTGGGTTTGCTAGGCTTATAAAAACACTTTGGTAACCAAAGCTTGGCAATCAACTAATGTTTCAGTTGCTTTTTTGCTTCAAAATGTCGACGACCTTCTGCGTTCTGTGTTTAATGCTGCTCTGTGGTGTTAGGGTAACCTCCTGATATTAATATTTTTTTGTTTTAAGGTGATATAATGACTCTATTTTGTACGTATAGTTAGAGCCAACCTCGAAGACATCAGTTGCTGATCCAATTCATATTGAAGCAGGAAATAAAAACACAGAAATCAAGGAGGCAACAGAATTCTTTCAAAATTTACAAAGGGCACTTTCAGTTTTGAAAACTGATATTAACAAAAATACACATACAGGAGAAGCGCTTGATTCTGATTCGCGAGGTCCGAGTAAAATAATGGTGGAATGCAGAGAAAATCAACAAAAATTGATTCATAATAACTCGAAGACTATCGAATGCGCCAAAAAATTTAAGCCATATATTTTTCCAATACTTGTAGCAGGTATGTTTATTACTGGTTGGATTGTAGCAAGTAGGAGAGGTAAGACGTACTCTAAACCCGAGCCGTTGGTATCCGATATGGTATACACTGTTTACAACAACGTATATAAAGACAAAAACATAGCCCAATGTGATCCCGATGGGTATAAATCATTTAAAAAATATAAAAAGATTAACACGAGCAAAAACATCGTCTGTTAAGCTTAAAGACATTAGAGGAAAAATGAAAAAATCACTTGAAATGTATAAATGTATAATCAAATGTATACTTAAAAGCAATTATAATAAAAATGAAGTTAAAATAACTAATTATGTATGTATTTTCCATGGAATAGCATACTTATAATAAACAAGAAAGGACTGCTAAAGTCGAGGACGCTCAACTCTTAAATACCCTGTACCACAAAAAAAACAGAGAGAACGCTACAGTCGAGCAAGCCCGACAGTGTAATACCCTGTACCCAGGTAAACTTCTGTCACTGAGTTACTATATATGCGCCCATAGCAGCAGCAATGAGGAAGAAGAAGAGCGAAATTGTTGCTGCAGTTTGTGGAGGCTGTACTGGAGAGAATTTTTGTACCCTGTACCCGTAGGGTAAAAAGGGTATATTAGGTTTGTGCAAAGTATGTAACATGCAGAAGGAAACATCTCCGACCCCATAAACTATATATATTCTGAATCAGCATGACGAGAGAAATCGATCTAGACATATCCGTCCGTCCGTCCGTCCGTCTGGATGAACGCAAGGATCTCAGAAACTATAAAAGCTAGAATAACCAAAGATTCTCCTAGGTTCTCCTAGGTCCGAGAAAGGACGAGTTTATTATTTTTTTTTAATTTTCCCCCCCTTCCCCCGCTACAGAATTTCGTCAATAGCGTCCAAATTTCAAATGCTACCTGAACCAACTTTGCACACATAATTAATATATAATTATCTACTGTTGTTTAAAATTTTTTTCAATTCGGTCAATTCTAAGAAAAGTTATTAGTTATTATAATAAATAACAATAGATAATTATACACTGTACATAAAATGTACAAGAGTATTGTTAATTTTCACACGTGCGGTAGTGCGAATCGGCAGGACGATTGTGGTCCTGACGAGTTAAGCTAAAGGACGCTTATTGTCCTTCTGGTGATCAAGGCCGGCTGATGTTTGGGTGGACACTCGAGGTCCGTTCAATTAAAGGCACTTGTAGCCCTGCTGCTTCAAGGGACCCTCATGGTCCAGTAGGTGCGAGTAACACCGTTTGTCCTAGTTGTGCTTGAGTGAAACGACGCAGGACGTTTGTAGTGACCAAGGATATCGGATGGCAATCCTTGGGAGCATGTAGTCAACGTGGTAGTCGGCGTAAAGATCAGCGGTTCCTCACCAAAGTAACAGACCGTTCGTTGATAATTTGCATACTGATTTTATTCTTACAAATCATGGCTTACTTGTATATAGCCATGCTTAAAACTAGCTTATGACTATTTACATTTAATATTTCTATGTGCTGGCGGTTTCGCAATAATGATGCCCAAGCATATATTATGAGCTTAAGTATGCTGGTGTCAGCCCAATTTGGCTCATAAAGTCTGACCTGATTGTTGGTCTTATGCTGAGGTAGCAGAATAATATGTGCCTTATTCTTGCTTATTATTGCTTACGTTGGCTGGCCAGTGTCCATGCACCTGTAATTCGTGTGCGCGTGCAGACTATTCTCTATGCTAAAACAATATGGGTGTGCAGGTTTATGTGTATTTATTCTAAAAATTATTATTCTAAAAAATAAAATAAACTCGTACTTTCTCAGACATAGGAGAATCTGGATACCAACTTTGGTTGTTCCAACTTTTATAGTTTCTGAGATCCTTGCGTTCATCCAGACGGACGGACATGTCTAGATCGTTTTCTCTCGCCATGCTGATTCAGAATATATATACTTTATTGGATCGGAGATGCTTCCTTCTGCATGTTACATTTTTTGCACAAGCCTAATATACCCTTTTTACCCTACGGGTACAGGATATAAAAATTAATTATAAATTAATTAATTATGATAATTAATTCAATACACATACATTTACATCAGAATCATGTCAATGCGTGTTTGTGTACTTGTACATATGTACTATATGAGTGCATTACATAATTATGTCAAAGCAGCAACAACAACAGCTGCGGGCAGAGAATATAATTATGGCTACAACACGGAACATACACAGACACACACAAGCACGCATAATTATTTTACTGTTACGTACAAAGTATTTCAAAGCACAGAATGGGGCGTGTCAGACCCCTAAAAGTATATATTATTGATCAGGATGACAAGCCGAGTCAATATAGCCATGTCCGTGTGTCAGTATGAACGCAAGGATAGCAAGGAGAAAGTATGAGAGGTAGAACAACCAAACTTGGTATCCAGATTCTCCTAAATCCGAGAAAGAACGAATTTGTGTTTATACAGCCCCCACTCCCCCGCAATTCGTGTTTTCCATAACTCCGGTAATTCTTGGAATTTCGAACGCAAATTTGGTAGTCACATTTAGTTTATGATTATGTATCTGTATACCAAGTTTCAAATTATTAATCAATTCTGAAGAAAGTTATAGCCATACATAAAATCGCTGCCCATGCTCTGCTTGTAGTTCTGCCCGCAGCTGTTGTTGTTGTTGCTGCTTTGGTTCAACTTTGTGCTGCATACATACACGCATATAACTGATGTAAATGGATGTATGCTGTTGAAAATGTACATGAAGAAGTCACCACTTTTGTATATATGTATTGAATAATTTGTATTTGTAAAAGGTGCACACTATACTATACACTATTTACGACCAGAGGTTGCCGACTATATTTTAGTTGCAGACCGCTTTGGGAGAACAAAAAGGAAACAAACTACTGATTCAATTTCCAAATTCATTGTAGATTAATTTCTGAAATTCCTTCAGTATTTATACAATTTCTGTGTTATTTACTAGTTTTTCCTTATGTACTAATAATTTAATATTTGACTCTTTCTTATTTTCTAAACATTGCACTTACTCTAATTTTACATTTTTTTCGTCTTATTCTATCCTAACGGTGCCAAGTGGATTTCCCCTCCATATGTACTTATTCGAAGCATTTCTTATCTAGTGCATTGCGCACATACCCTTAAACGCTGTCGTTTCATATGCATATGCCTACGATGCATTGGTTTTGCAGCACTGGTGCATGCGGCTATTTTTAGGCCGAGTTCTGTTAAGCCCACCTACTGCTCGTGTTGCCTATGCTAATTCCTGAGCTCTAGTTCACTTTTGTGAACAGTATTTAATTTAATTGATATAATTTTTTATAATTAATTAAAAAAATTTTTTTTCATTTTTTCTTTTTTGTGCGAGGTACAGGTTATTTAAGAGCTGAGCTCGCTGGACTTTAGCATTCCTTTCTTGTTTATCATGAGTTACATTATGGTGGAACGAATCAGCAATTTTGCTTATCTAGTATACGGGAGTGAGGTAGTATAGACAGACGGACAGACATGCAAACATAGATCGACACGTTTTGTCAAACTGATCAAAGATATAGCACTTTGTGAGGTCTGCCACGCCTCCTCTTACTCTTACTTGTCATCTCCCGCAAACCTAATATAGTCTTGTACATTTCGTGTAATCTACACCTTTATTAATTCTAGGCATAGGTAGCGAGATATCCGCGAAAATTCGATTTTCAGGACCTTTGACTTTGAATATCTTTGGAGATAACATATTGAACGCCAAAACAAAGGTTTATTCAAATTTCAGCTTATTATCTTTCATTTCATTCATTACCCTAATTTGACTAGGCTAATAACAACTTTTTAGTTCATGACTTTCACGAAATTCCTCCGTTAAGTTAATAAATGGCTTTCGTTCGATTATTATTTATTTTATTAGTGTGTTTTCTAGTTTTAATGTAATTGTTGCAGATCTATTTTGCTGTCATCTCTAGAATGACATTTGTATAAGTTCAATGTTAAAAGTCTTTCATAACCTGACCATAATTTGAAAAACCTGATTTGTTATGCTACTTTTATAATGTCATAACACCTGGACTCTATATATGCCTTCGATATGCAATTTTAAAACTAACGTAGTAAAACTCCATCGCTATTTTTTGAAACGAATCATTAATTGGGTTTGCTAGGCTTATAAAAACGCTTTGGTAACCAAAGCTTGGCAATCAACTAATGTTTCAGTTGCTTTTTTGCTTCAAAATGTCGACGACCTTCTGCGTTCTGTGTTTAATGCTGCTCTGTGGTGTTAGGGTAACCTCCTGATATTAATATTTTTTTGTTTTAAGGTGATATAATCACTCTATTTTGTACGTATAGTTAGAGCCAACCTCGAAGACATCAGTTGCTGATCCAATTCATATTGAAGCAGGAAATAAAAACACAGAAAACAAGGAGGCAACAGAACTCTTTCAAAATTTACAAAGGGCACTTTCAGTTCTGAAAACTGATATTAACAAAAATACACATACAGGAGAAGCGCTTGATTCTGATTCACGAGGTCCGAGTAAAATAATGGTGGAATGCAGAGAACATCAACAAAAAATGATTAATAATAATCCAAAGACTATAGAATGCACTAAAAAATTTAAGCCATATATTTGGCCAGTACTTGTAGTAGCTGGAATTCTTGGTTTTATTAAAGGAAGAGGTAGGACGTACTCTAAACCCGAGCCATTAGCATCCGAAATGGTATACACTATTTACAACAATGTATATAAAGACAAAAACATAGCCCAATGTGATCCAAATGGGTATAAATCATTTCAAAAATATAAAAAGATTAACACGAGCAAAAACATCGTTTGTTAAGCTTAAAGACATTAGAGGAAAAATGTAAAAATCACTTGAAATGTATAAATGTATAATCAAATGTATACTTAAAAGCAAATATAATAAAAATGAAGTTAAAATAACTAATTATGTAAATATTTTCCATGCAATAACATACTTATAATAAACAAGTAGAGCAAGAAAAGAATGCTAAAGTCGAGCGAGCTCAACTCATAAATACCACCCCACAAAAAAAAAAATAAAAAAATAAAATAAATGTAACTAATTAATTTAATTAAATATAAAATATTTAGCACATGCATACAGACAGATTAGTGTTTATGCACAATTTCAACAGCATAACACATCAGAATCGTGGCTATGCGTGCTTGTATGCAGTAAAAAATAAGTCAAAGCAGCAACCCCTGCCGACAGAACTTGGGCGGAGATTATGTTTATGGCTATAACTTTCTTCATAATTAACCTATCATAATGAACTTGGCACACAGACACATAATTACTATATGGTTGTACTAGCAGGTATTGCCCGTCTTAACCCGGCTCAATATAATGTTTCCAATTGTATTTATTTTGTGTGTGCATAACCTACCCATATGTTTTCACCTTATAAGTTACCAGTAGGAAGGCATTTAAGGTATTTAAATGAACATTTTCTGTTCTTGACAAAAAATTGTTCAGTAGTCCGTTACATTTTTGTTCTTGCCAAACTATTTCTTTAAACGAACATGACCACTATAACTAATATTTTTTTAAACCTCCCCCCTTTGGAGTTAGAATTTTCCAAAAGCCTTTCTTAGTGTGCTCCTACACTATGATGGATACTATGAAAGGATACTTGAGTCCAAATTTCATCTTTTACCGTTTGGGCTGTGCGTTGATCACCAATTAGTCAGGACAAACTGTTTTATATATAGAGATAACGCAACGTTTTAAGATAGACTATGTGCAAAAAAGGGGAATAATTATAAGGGAATATCCTAATTTTAAATTCACATTTGAGTCAATACGGTCACGCACAAACTCGGAATATGAAACACGGCACTCGTGTCAATGCCGTGCAGCGATGAGCCACGATCAAAAAGCACTGACAATTCTCATCTCAATTTGCTAGAGTAAAACTTTCGATAGTTGAAGCCACCGATACCATCAAAATATCGAAGTTTGAATGCAATAAGCAGAATATTTAAATAATAAAATCTAATTATTTATTGAGATCGATAAGAACAAATCATATACATACATACATCTGCCCGCAATGCGAAGCAAAATATGCGTAGCTCCGTTATTCGGTTTCTGCTTTACTATCGCATACGCAGTCGTTGCTTAGCGACGGTAACTGTAAACTTTTGGCGTTTTGCCTTTGCAATTAACATTAAATGGTCAAAACGAAAGAAGATGAGCGAGCCAACAACTTGAAGTTGTTGTTTTGTATTTACATGCTTCATACATATACAGGCATAGATACATATGCTTGTACATATGTATGTATGCATGGGCACACATAGACACGAACTGTTCCCAACTATTTGATATTTGATATATGGCAAGTAAAAAACATATTGCTATATTTTAATCGTTGAATGCCAATTTGTTGATATAGTTATGTTGATTACATTACCCAAATTTGAAATCGATCGGACAAAATTTATAACACAAACTATTCATTTGAAAAAGTGAATAAATATTAAAACCCCAATAATAAAATTAAATGCGATATATCGAAAATATCGATACTTGTGTTGATATATCGTAATACATGTCGAATACAAATACATCGAAAAACATCGTTTGAGAGTTATTGATTATAATACTGTATTCGATTGTACACTGTACACATACATACATACAAATGTATTTGCATGTGTACTGTAACTGTAAACTTTTGGCATTTTGCGTATGTAATGAACAGGCGTAAATGATCAAAACGAAAGAAGATTTGCGAGCCAATAACTTGAAGTTGTTGTTGTTGTTTTAAAAATTTTGATTTGAAACCATAGAAAACTATTTTTTACAATTAAACAACAGTGTTCGATTGCCCACTGCATACTTGTACATACAAACCTATATATGTATATAGGAATGTATGAACGTACATACATACTTATTGATGTACATACATACATATGTACATGCTATACATACAGACGTATGTACGTATGTAATACATATGGTGCTGGCGTAATTCATAATGCGAAATTCTTTCTAAGGGGAGAAATGTCCCCCCTGCCCAACCTGCGTACGCCCTTGTAGTCCGTTGTCCTAAAAACCCCTTATGCCAAATGTACTAAACAAAGAAAAAATAGCATAAAAATGTTTATGTTATAATGTTAATAATTTTTAATTAATTAACATTTCTTGCCCTGTCAGTGCAAGACGAATGTACTTTTATACATATGTATGTATGTACATACATGTGTACAAATGAACATTCACACATTAGTGTCTCACATTTTGCTTTGGCTACTTCAACCGTTTACACGCAACTACACGAACAGCTGCTTGTATGTATGTATGTGTGTGTGTGTGTATGTATACTTAGTTGTCCCCAACTGTTTGATATTTTGTATTGTTTGTTCTACCTGCATTTGTAAAATGCATATTTTAAAAATCGTTAAATGCAAAGTTGTAATTTTAGTTACGTAGATTATATTACCCAAATTTGAAATCGATCTGACAAAATTTATAACACAAACTTTTCATTTGAAAAAATGAATAAATATTAAAACCCCAATAATTCAAGCTCCAACACAAAATTCAAAAATGCAGAATTTTCAAACAAACTTTGGAGCTACTTTTCCCCCCTTTGGAGCTCGAATTTTCCAAAATCCCTTCTTAGTGCGCATCTACACCATGATAGGATACTTGAGCCCAAATTTCAGTTTCCTAGCTTTTACCGTTTGGGCTGTGGGGTGTTGATTGTGTTTCAATTTTTCCACGGAAAACCCCCCTTTTTTCATGCCCCAGGAAAAATGGTGAAAAACCAAGTATACAGTTTTTCTTGTATTCTTTTTGAGAGTATACAAACTAAGTTTGAAGTTAATTGGATGAAAATTGTAGATTTTTCATACAAACGTTGGAGCCCGTTTTCCCCCCTTTGGCGTTCGAATTTTCCAAAACCGCTTCTTAGTGCTCACCTACACCACTGAAGACAACATGTGTCCAATTTTCAGCCTCTTAGCTCTTACCGTTTGGGCTGTGCGTTGATTGCACATAGCTTTTCGTTTACCAAATTTTCCACCGGAAAATCATTATTATTCAGGCCGCAGGAAAAATATTGAAAATCCAAGTATACAGTTTTTTTTGTATTCTTTTTGAGAATATACAAACTAAGTTTGAAGTTAATCGGATAAAAATTGTAGATTTTTCATACAAACGTTGGAGCTCGTTTTCCCCCCTTTGGAGCTCGAATTTTCCGAAACCCCTTCTTAGTGCTCACTTTCACTATAAGAGGGATCTTGTGTCCAAATTTCAGCTTCCTAGCTCTTACCGTTTGGGCTGTGCGTTGATTGCCAATCAGTCAGTCAGTCAGTCAGTCAGGACAAACTGTTTTATATATATAGAGATTTGTCAAATTTAAGTGCAAAATTCCAAGAAATACGGGAGTTACGGGAATTATGGGAAAACACGAATTGCGGGGGAGTAGGGGGGTGCATCAGAAAAAAAAACCAAAAGCCCGTCCTTTCTCGGACTTAGGAGAATCTGGACACCGAGTTTGGTTATTCTTGCTCTTGTACTTACTGAGATCCTTGCGTTCATACAGACGGGCGGACGGACAGACGGACATGGCTATATCGACCTTCTCATCCTGATCAAGAATATATATAATTTTTTGGGCCTGCCACGCCTCCTTCTGCCTGTTACATTTTTCACCTAGGTGGAGTCTTGAGAACTTTTCATGTCCTAACGAATTCGTCGTGGATAACCTTAGGGTGTGCAAAGAAATTAATGTCTGGTGCATATTAGAACGCAAGGGAAATGTTATTGCACTACTGGTTTGTTGACTATCTCTGTCGCGTTCTCTGAATGTGTCTTTATTCAGTTTTCCCGCAGTTCTCGTTTTCAATATATTTTGTGGCAAACGTCTTCTGTTTTGATTTGTTGAACTGCGATTTTTGTTGCAGTTTGTTTTTCTGATTTTTTACCTCTGAGTACGCTGGAGTCGTGTATTTTTGCGACGGCATTATACTGAAATATAAATTCTATTTCACATGATATCTCATTTAAATTTGACACTCATCTACCGGGTGCCTTCGCGTGATATCCGAAACAGTCCAGTCCAGTGTAACGAGGTCGGAAACATAAAAAAAATACAGACGAATTGATAAACTCCTCTTTTTATGAAGTCGGTTAAAAAGTAACCTAATACTTGTAACGCTAGGATAGAGATCTCAAATAAATAAAGCAAAGTAACCCGTTAAAGCGAATGACAAACTAAATTGAATTAAATTGCCAGAAATGTGATATCCACCTGGTCCTCTGGTACTGGCGGTGTCGGCCTCAGCTACACAACGCTTCGCTCGGTCCACAAATTTGTATCTTTTGTTATCAAAAGAGAGCCCTGTGGACCCCACGCTCAGGTAATAAATAAATCATCACTTCCCTTCCATTCTCATCAGAATATGTATATATTCCCATATCAACTAATAAGTATCTATAAAATATTACAAACATACTCTGTGGGATCATGTAATTTTTATTTTATTTATTGATCTTCTTCTTCTTCCTCTTTTTTATATGAATATGCAATCAACAAAGTGTACAAGTAGATAACTAAAAACAAAAAACATATAACATTACGTATATTTAGAAATTAAATGAAATATCCGAACCTATCATTACTATGAAAAGGATAATTACAGCTGCCTCGCCTCTAAGTAAAAGGGAAAAGAATTCGTATTTCCTTCCATAGAAGACTAAGCCCACACCTGCACAGAATAAGTACAGATATGTCCAGTACTTAACAAACTTTTTTAAATTCTAATAAAATAAATTTGTATTAATGTTAGCTCCCACAAATGAATGAATTTTTTAACTTACTTGAAATGCAATAACTATAAATATGATCCCTAATATTAAAATTATCACAGTCAAGACACAGGAGATTTTTAAATCCGTAGGGCCGAGGCCTGTTACAACTGAAAAGACAAAAGAAATTATTGTATATTTAGTTGTCGTCGCTTGTTTTAGATACTTACTTATTGCGATAGTTGCAGCCAGGCCGAACAATACATGCAAAATTCCAAGTATGATGCATCCTGTTCTCAATGGTACACAAAAGCAACACTTTCCAAGCATTTTATAAAGTTGTATTCTTATTGTAGAATTTCTATATGTTTTTACAATGACAGTAAATGCCTACTTAGTTGTCATCATACACCTCGAAAAATAAGTTTAAATACGGTCATGCTTTTAGAACACTCAAAGTTTTTACTTCATATTATTTGTAAGCCATGGTTTCTAGCTGGGTAATAATTGGTGAGAAATGCATTAAACATAATTTTTATACCCTGTACCCAAAGGGTACAAGGGTATATTAGTTTTGTGCGAGTGCACATGGAACACACAGAAGGAGGCTTGGTAGACCCCACAAAGATATAGCCATGTCCGTCTGTCCGTCTGTCTGTCCGTCTGTCTGTCTGTATGGACGCAAGGATCTCCGAAAGTATAAGAGCTAGAATAACCAAACTTGGTATACAGATTCTCCTGAGACCGAGAAAGGACGAGTTTGTTCATTTTTTCTGATCCACCCCCCCACTCCCCCCCTATTACCGATTTTCTATAACTCCCGTAATTCTTGGAATTTTGAACTAAATTCTAATTTGGTAGTCACATTAGGTTAGTAATTATATATCCGTATACCAAGTTTCATTATGATAGAATGATTGGAAAGAAAGTTATAGCCATATAACCAGGCCCAATGCACACATACATACATATGTACAAGTACACAAACACGCATAAGGCACGATTCTGATGTAAATGTAAATGTATGTATGCATGCATGGAATATTTTATATTTAATTAGTTAATATGTAGTTAATTAATTAAATTAATTTAGTTAATTAATTTAATTAAATTAATTAATTAATTTAATTACTTTTTTGTGGGGTGGTACAGGGTATTTAAGAGTTGAGCCTGCTCGACTTTAGCATTCCTTTCTTGTTGCGTTTTAAGTGTCAGTATGTTTGTGTTATCGGTGCGAAAATGAAATTTTTACCGAAACGTTTCAATTGATGGAACAAGTTTATGGCGATAATTGCCTATCCCGTAGCAGAGTGCACGAGTGGTTTCAACGTTTTCAAAGTGGTCGTGAGGATATAAATGACGATCAACATGTGGGCCAATCAAAATTCGTTATCACCGAAAATCGATCATCCATCGAAACTGTGCGTGGATTCATCAAAAATCAGCCGAAATCATCATTGAAATTGATGGAAATGGAATTGAACATCTCCAAAACATCGATTTATCGCATTTTGACCGAACATTTGAGCTTAGGAAAGGTGTGTTCACGGTTTTTTCCGCACAAATTGACTGACGACCAAAAATTGCTCAGACGATCGACTCTTGTGACCGATTATTTGACCAAAAATCACATTTTAACCATTAACCACTCGCCGTATTCACCTGATATGACACCGTGCGACTTCTACCTTTTCGGAAAAATGCATTTGCCCATGAAAGGAAAGCGTTATGCAGACGTAGAGGCCATTCAAAAGGCTTGCACCGGCATACTGGCGGTCATACCGGCCAACGAGCTAAAACACTCGTTCGGCATGCTTTTGGGTCGTGCAAAAAGCTGTATTGAAGCAGAAGAAGACTATTTTGAATAAAATAAATTGATTTTGCCGAAAAAACCATTTGTTCTGATTTTTTTTTTAAGTCCTGTTTACTGTGGAACACACCTTGTATATTTTTCTCGTTTGTCAACAGTCAATGTTTGTTGACATAAATATAAATAAATAAAAATAATGATAGATAAATTTGAAGGGAAGTTATCGCCATATATGTGGGAATGGGTCTGGCAACGTAGTGCCAACAGCACACCAAATTCACCACATGCATGAAGAATAGATGAAGTCGAACGATGAGAGGAGGAGTCAAAAAGAAGATGTGAAACAAGACGGCTGCGTATAAAAGACGAAAGACGAAACGACGCTGTTATTCAACTAAATAATTCAATTAAACATTTTCTTGTACTACAAATTAATAATTATATTCATTAAAACTATTAAAACATATTAAATTGGAGCCTTGAATCCTTTATTTCCATTAAAAGTATCCCAGGTCCCACATATAGGTAATCTCTGCCCAAGCGCTGCCAGCTATATTACAATTGCAGCAGATAATAAATCCTTATAAAATATCGTTTGGTGACATTATATAAAAATCACCATTGCCATTGGACACGTATGTGGAATAGTTTAAAATGTTACTTAAACGGAACCAAATATCATAAACTAATTCGAATTATCTGATATGTTTTGGTATTAGAATTATACATTTTTTCAAAATGAAAGCTTTGTATAGTTCTAGAAGGCCATGTGCTATGCAATTCTGGAACGAATCACCAATTAAGTTTTCTGGGGTATTTACAAACTGTTAAGTCATGCATATGGCAATCAAATAATGTTCTAGTGTTCTTTTCTGCTTCAAAATGTGGTTGACGTTGTGCCTTCTGTGTTTAATGGTGTTCTACTTGTATGGTGTAAAAGTATTTTCGTTCTCCTTTAACTTCACATTTATAAAACACAATAATAATTTATATATTTGATATGTGCAACAAAATTATTTTTCGATGAAGGAATTATAAAAAGAAATTAATATCTACCAGCAAACATACAGCAGGATGTCTTAGAAAATTGAGCGCACCACCAACAACAGATTATTTACAATATGACCTAAGAAATAAATATATTTTATTATATTATAAAAAGTTTGCAGAGAACAATCTTTAGACATTTACCTGGCGCTTTTATAAGGTTTATATGCTTTATATCCCTCAGGGTCACATACTGATGTGGTCACATCCTGATGTGACCTTTAGGGAATAAAGCACATAAATCTTATCAAACCGCCAATAAAATGTCTAAAAATTGTTATTTGGAAACCGTTTTTATATATTTGACGTATGCCTATAAAAAAAATATGACAAATAAATACTATACCTATAAAATAGGTTAAATTGTTTCTCTAATAACTTTTCTTAGAATTGATAAATTTGCCTAGATATAAGGAGATTCTACATGCCAACCCTGGTCAATGTAAGGTCAGCCGGCTCCGAAATTGAGGCGTTCATCCAAGCAGACTTTCAGACGGACTTGGCTATAACGATTTGCTTCATGCTGAATAAAATTATAAATATAATAGCTGGTCTTACCCATCTATAGTAAGTCAAAAAGTTTATTTACAATATGATATTTCTCCTCCGACACTCTCTAAAGTTGCGAAAGAACTACCACCTGCCCAAACAGTCACTTTTTGATCATGCAATGGTGTTTCAGAGAGTGTGAAATGGGCCTCGTCAGTCATGAAAATTTGCTTCCAAAAATCAGGTTCAGTGTCAACCATTCGAGCAACTGTTTGGCCGTATTCCAAGCGACGTGGACAGTCTGTCTGCAAAATTCTTTGAGTTAATTGCACTTTATACGGAGCAAATGCAAATCGTCCTTTAAAATGCGCCGCAAAATGGTTCCACTGACGTTAAAATGCTGGGCAACACTCTCTCTTACCATTTCAATCAGTTCATTGAAACGTCTTGGTCGTTGATGAACAACATGTGGACGATCTCCCACTGTCCCGTGCTTAACGTGCATAACGTCTTTCTTCCTCATGCATTGCAGCTAACCGAACTTTAAAAATGTTTGCATATTGCCCCGTTTAGCGTTTCAAATCAAAACTAATATGGTACTTTTTACAGTCAAATAAATAAGAACCAATTTAGAATCAATTTGAATGTCTCGAAAAATGTTGAAATTAATTTTTTTCTCGCTGTTTTTTCTTACCTGTTGTTTTTTACAAACGATAGAAGCACATCACTTTCGCATTCTTGGAGGTAAAAAAGCGCCCAGAGGAATTGCACCTTATCACATAACCATAATTCTTAAAAACATAAGTGCTCCCATTTGCGGTGGTGCTATTTTAAATAAACGTTGGGCTATCACAGCTGCACATTGTATAGCAGGAGGACTTCCAAGGAACTATATGATTATGACAGGCGGCAACCAGGAACTCACAGCTGAGAGCCTTAAAAAAGCAAAATTTCACGAACCAACAGATTTAATTACCCATTGCGCGTATGATGCTTCTTCAGCAACAATGGATCATGATGTTGGCTTAATACGCATGTCAAAAAACATCAAGTTCAATCGATATACCCAACCAATTGCCTTGGACCCCAAAACTGTCCCGGTGGGTGCTAAATTGTTAATTGTCGGCTTTGGCTTCATTAAGTACAAGCCCAAACCGGTGATTACAACTGAAATGCACATGCTACACATGAAAAGGATCTCACAAAAGACTTGTAGCAAAGCAATGCAGCTAAATATTCGCAGCAATATCATATGCGTATACAGAACAGTGAATCGAGGAATTTGCCATGGTGATTCTGGATCTCCATTTACGCTTAAACGTAAACTGGTAGGACTAGCGAGCTGGGGCCTTCCATGCGCTGAGGGCTATCCGGATATGGTAGCCAGCATTGCGTACCATTACAATGGCATAATTAAAACTATGCGCAAATACAACAAAAAGCATTCAACAAAATGTATACCATAAGATTGAACTGCATTGAATATATTCATCATTTTCAGTTTCTGTTTTACCTGTATGGTAGCTGTGTTTTTTAATAGGGCCACCACTGCAACTGCCGTCATAGGAATTGTAACAATCCTAATATTCGTACCATATTTCGCCGTTTTTTATTTGTATGAAAAGATAGATCTTGTAAGCAAGCTTGTCTTATGTCTGCTGTTTCCTAAGACAGCAATAGGAATCGGGATGTATGCAATTTTTGCATTGGAAAATTCTGGCGAGGGTCTTCAGTGGTCCAATTTTTGCCGCCCTGTCTCGATAGAAGATTCTCTATCACTTTTTCTTGTTTGTCTTATGTTAGCTATAGGATCCGTAATATTCATGTTAGTCTGTCTATATGTGGAGCAGATATACCCAGGTATCTACGGTGTACCTCGAAAATGGAACTATCCATTCCAATGCAAAATCTGGCAGTCACTTTTGGGCTTCGCTTTTACCTCCTCTGGTGAAAGCGGATCAAGCAGCGATATATCTGGCGAAGAAAAACGCTGCGCCTGTCGGCCCAGGACCTCAACTAAAGAGGATGCTCTTCAGCCGGGTATACATATCCGAAATCTCAGAAAACGCTATGGCGATGCAGTTGCTGTAAAATAATTGTGGGTATGATATTGGGACCAATTCTATATATATTCATTCCAGCTTTCTTCAGTGACCCAAACATAATTCAAAAAGCGATTCTAGCTATTGTGCGTTTATTTCCCCACTATTGGCTGGCTGAAACCATATCTGATCTCTATATTAATTTTAATTTACACAAGAGTTGTAGCAACCCGATGCTGATGAGGTTAACGCATGAAGATCTTTGCAAATTCGTACCCGCTGGCTGTAATGTTCCAGGACACTTTGTCTGGCCCAAACATGGCATTATTGTGCACATATTGTCCTTTCTTCTGTCAGGCACGATTTATATATTATTATGCTCTTGGATGCGAAAAAGTGTGAGTGTCTGCCTGCTATGTTAAAGGGGACTAAAAGGCAGGAGGCTGGTCAAAATTCGGATCCCGATGATGTTGACATCGAACGATCAACCGTTGCTAATCTCACAGAAGCGGAACGGAACGATCTGCCTCTTGTCGTTGATCGCATAAAAAAGAAGTTTGAAAAATTCGTTGCGGTCAAAGAACTATCATTCTACGTTGCACCAGGGGAGTGCTTTGGCCTGTTGGGTGTAAACGGCGCGGGCAAGACGACCACTTTCAAGATGCTTACTGGAGATATACGAATCGGGTCGGGAACTGCATATGTCGAAGGCTGATGCCTGGGACACACATAAGCAAAGTGTACGACAGAATTGGCTATTGCCCGCAGTTCGATGCGGTAACTGGGGAGTCAACAGGACGGGAGACAATGCGACCAGATTGCTCTTTATTCAGCACATTAAAAAGCCGATCAAACACTATAGTTGAGGAACCAAGCGCAAGCTCAGCCTCGCTATATCTCTGATAAATAACCCGTCAGTCCTATATTTAGATGAGACATCGGCCGGCATGGATCCAGGTGCACGACGACAAATGTGGAATCTATTGACGGAGTTTCGAGAGCATGACAAGGCTGTCGTACTGCATGGAGGAGGTTGAGGCCTTGTGCATGCGAGTTGCTATTATGGTTGATGGCGAATGCAGGCTCTACACAGACCTTAAAGAAAAGACTTCAGAAAAATTTTAAATATTAAATTTAAAGTTATTTTCTTTCCAGCTATGCAATTCACATAACAGCCCTGTTTTGCAGAGCATTTGTAACACACGGACCTGTCCACACATCGAAACACAAATTTCGCGAATTTTTCAAATATTTTGATGAACTTTTTAATCCGATTTTAAGTTATGTAGCTAATTTATTTCGTCATACTATTTGCACAAACCTAATATACCATTTTAACCCTACGCGTATAGGGTTTAAAAATTAATGCGACAAAAATGTTCGTATCAATGAACTATAATAGAAACCAATTACGATATACTTGTAATGTGTTTATACTACAGAAATTGCGTATACGAAATAAAAGGCTCCCGCATCGGGGAAAGAAGATATGCCCATTCTCACAGGTTTTATTTCCGGCGGTTACAAATGGTATTTCATGTTCAACAGATATATACTCATGTAAGTATTGTACATATTAATGCAATATAATAATGGTAGATACCTACATAATATATAACAGTGTATAGTACTTATTTGATTTGAAAATTGAATAAAACTTATTTATTTAAAGCTTAAAACAAAACATTGTATTCAGATATTTGTTAAGTGGATTTTAATAACTAACTGTACAAGCAAATCAAATGCTTTTATTGCAAGTCCTGTGATATGTAAATTTTCGTTTGATATTTAGCAATTTAGCGCGCAAAGAAATCCTGTAAAGCAAGATGCTGTTGTTGTTTGTTAGCAAATTAGAGAAAAAGAGCGAAATTTATGCATATTTTTAAGTTCAATCCATCCATTCACGAGTGTACTGTTACTGTTACTGTGCTGTACACACTTTAGTAGCTGCGACATTTTCCCTAGCAAAACAACTTCAACCTGCTCTTCGATTTCCTGCTGGACTTGGTCTAAATTGCTAAAAGGTAACATCAGGTGCTCGTAGGAGCGTTGGCCAAAATACGCGAGCTGCGCGACAAGTATCCGTACCAATAGAAGACATTGATCAGGAAGAAGAGCAGCGGAAAGACAATGCGCGAGGCCCGATCGATCTTTGAGACGGAATTATATTGTGGTGTGCGTTTACCCTTGCGACGGGCCTCCATCTCCTCCCGTCTATAGTAGGACATGCGACGACGCCCCATGCCAGGCACTGGCTGAGCATTCGCAGCAGCCGCAGCGGCCGAGGTGCAGGGTGCCTCGTGGGCTCGCAACTGAGTTTGCTCATCATCTTCATCAGAGCTGTTGATGGAATGACGTGAGACTGTGCTTCGGCGCTGACGCTGCCCCTTCGTCCAGTCCAAGCAACGCCAGAAGCTAGCAGCCACTCGATTGCCCGAATAGACTCCATCTACTCCGCCAGCATGTCGACGATTCCGCGTTCGTCCACCGTGAAGTATCCCCAGACGACTACCGCTGCCAATACCACTGCTGCTTGCCGAGGCCGGTATATTAATGGCGCACATTGACAGAGGTATTACCTCATAAATTTTATCCTCGGTGCTATCATGAAAATCGGACTGGGGCACATCTGTTTCGGACTCCGTGTCCGTTTCCATTTCTTCAATAATAAAATAGCATTCTCCAGAGCCGTATTTTGTAAAATAGTGAACCACCGCAAATTGCAGTATGGTAGCAAATATGAAAGCGAAGGATAGAAACACAAAGAAATCCAAGGCAGTTGGATATGGAACTTTCGGTAAATCAGTGCGCGCCTCCAGACCCAAAAATGTCATCGTTAGTACTGTGGTTATGCCCAGCGAGACACGATCAGCGGTGGCCTCACGGTTCAACCAGAAGGAGACCCAGGAGAGCACCACCAGTAGGCAGCAGGGTCCATAGACTTGGATAAGGAAGTTGCCCATGTGACGTTGCAAGTGAAAGTTTACCATTAGCATGGAGTATTCAGCTGAAAATATTTATCAAATATTAGATACCGTTAAATTTTCCACCACTCTTAAAAGAAAGTTATTTTATAACACGTTTAAAATATGATATATACTCGTATACATGGGGATAAGAGAGAAAAAAACGCATATAGTAGCAGTTATTGGAACGGACTTCCTAATCCAATTGCATACGAGTATATATAAAAGTATAGATTGCTGAGCTCTGATCGTGTTTAGGGAGCCCTTTTGTTAGGAGAGACAAAGATTATAGGGACAAGCTTACATGGATGATTTATTTCCAGTGTAACACTACCCGCCAATTGGGTACCCGTTCCTGCATGACCCGCCGTAGCTCCTCCCACATTCTTGCCAGTGCCGAATGCCCCCTTATCCAGCTTTAGGCCGGTGCCACGAACATGCTGATTCTTGGCACCCGGTCCCGCAAATGTTGTCATAATTGGCTTGTCCTTGTTACTTTGTTTCGGCACATCCTTGTGATTGTATTGCATGGGCATGGGCGCGGCGGCCTTATAAACAATATCCGTTAAATTACCC